AAACCAACAACTGCCATTAACCAATCTGCAACTGCAATCGCCACAACAACAACTACAACAACAACCCTCCTGAAAAATCAAAATAAAAAATCAATACAAACACCACACACACGATCACAGATCTGCAGAATACAGCTTTGCCCGATGAACGGGCAGTGATGACCTATGTGTCCTCGTACTATCACTGCTTCAGTGGCGCCCAAAAGGTCTGTTATACACCAAAAAACACCCCCCAGTCATCCCCAAAAAGAAACACACACACACACAGCCCAACACAACATTTATTGATGGCCTCTTTGATATGCATCATGATCAGTCTTTACAAAGTTTCTCAATTATGTGAAGTAGGCTTCAAAACTTTTTTTTTTTTATTGTAAAATAATATTGGAAATATATTGATTACAGATCAAAAAGCAGTAAAGGGCGCCATCGATAAAATCATTTTTCTTCACCTCTCCTTTATCTATCCCATCTAATTTTATTTCTTTTTCTTAAATGCCTTTAAGATCCGTAATAATTCAGTAATTCAGTGGTTCTCCTACAATCTCTATACATCTATACAATCTCTAGCCTTCTTTACTTTAAATGCCCAGATCACTGACTGGCCTTTCAAGACCCCTTTACTCCTAATCCTGGCCATTCTCATACCATCGACAAACACGCAAAACTCAACGCGCTATGCTAACTGCAGATTTGCCAGAGCATTCTAATCCTCAGACCGCTTGACTGAAATGGAATGGAGTGTCCTGCTCGGGATTCCTTTGCCATTGCACTTGTTTGCCCTGTTTTCTGTTGCTTCTTCCGTTTCTTTTACTTTCTGCACCGTTTTATTTCATATACAGGGCACACAGTTCAGTTCAGTTCAGTTCGAATCGGATCGGTGGCATGCCGCTGAGTTGAGCTGAGCCGCGGCGCCCAGTTAGTGTTCCTGTTCCTGTTTCCTGTTCGTCTTGTTTTCGCTTTTCCAAATCTGAGTTGGTTCCGTGCCCACACATACACGCACACTCAGAGCGAAACGATTGAAGCCTTCTAATATGCAACCACCTTTTCCACCCACCCAACCATGTAACCATGTTACCATGTGCACCACCCAAACACCGAACGACAGGCGGAAACCGCTGCCAACCGCATCTGCAAGGTGCTCAAGGTCAACCAGGAGAACGAACGCCTCATGGAGGAGTACGAGCGTCTGGCCAGTGATGTAAGTAGATCGATTTATTGACCATGTAGCACCCACTTAACGATCCCATCCCTTACAGCTGCTGGAGTGGATCCGTCGCACCATGCCGTGGCTGAACTCGCGCCAGGCCGACAACTCGCTGGCGGGCGTGCAGAAGAAGCTGGAGGAGTACCGCACCTACCGGCGCAAGCACAAGCCACCACGCGTGGAGCAGAAGGCCAAGCTGGAGACGAACTTCAACACGCTGCAGACCAAGCTGCGCCTGTCCAACCGGCCCGCCTACCTGCCCACCGAGGGCAAGACCGTGTCGGACATCTCGAACTCGTGGAAGGGTCTGGAGCTGGCCGAGAAGGCCTTCGAGGAGTGGCTGCTGGCCGAGACCATGCGCCTGGAGCGCCTCGAGCATCTGGCCCAGAAGTTCAAGCACAAGGTGAGTCAATCAAGTCAATCCTTGTCAACAACTAATCCATTGAGTACCATCCACAGGCCGATGCCCACGAGGACTGGACGCGTGGAAAGGAGGAGATGCTGCAGTCGCAGGACTTCCGCCAGTGCAAGCTCAACGAGCTGAAGGCCCTGAAGAAGAAGCACGAAGCCTTTGAGTCTGACCTGGCCGCCCACCAGGATCGCGTCGAGCAGATCGCCGCCATCGCCCAGGAGCTGAAGTAAGTGTCCGCCCCGAGCGAGCCCAATAGCTAATCTCAATTTATCCCCGCCTGCTGCCACCGATGGCCAATGGTGATCCCTGATCTGCGTCCAGCGTGAGGTTAGGTAGCACTCCACCTCCTCGATCAGTCATCTATCCAGACACTAGTGTTTGCCAGCCCCTTTTCCCAGTAAAAGTTTACGAATGGGTAAATAAAATGGGATTTTTGAATATTAGTATACGTCGATCTAATAACAAGGTGATCGGTGATCCATGGAATGTTGCAAAAACCAAAAACTTGTGATAGTTATAGTGATTTTTTTGATAAGGACTAAGTTCCCGAAGTCATAACTCAGCGAATACTTATCCGATTTCCATTCGGTTTGATTTTCTATGACTTTTTTGATTAAAACAAATTTTCTGCATTCAAAGCTCAACAATTTTTTTTTTTTCAAAATTTTGAATTTTTTAATGATGTATAGCCTTAAAAAATTTGACAAAATTGAAAAAAAAAATTTTGTTTCAGATTTAAATAAATATAAATAGTGCTAGTGAAACTTGATTTAGAAAAGTAAAACTTTTGCAAACCGGGCTATTTTAAGCCAAGTTATGTGCTTTTTAATAGAAAAGGATTGATGAATCCAAGAACGGGATAGGTTTACTGGCAACACCGTCCTCCGACCATTCCACCGCCCATCCATCTCATCCACTCGTGCAGCGCTCACCACAGACCATTTGTTCGCTCATGTCCGCGGCCCGTTGTCCCAGAGATCCCCAACTAATCCGCGATCCCAATCCACAGCACCCTGGAGTACCATGACTGCGTGTCGGTGAATGCCAGGTGCCAGCGCATCTGCGACCAGTGGGACCGCTTGGGTGCCCTCACCCAGCGCAGGCGCACCGCTTTGGACGAGGCCGAGCGCATCCTGGAGAAGATCGACATCTTGCATTTGGAGTTCGCAAAGCGGGCGGCGCCGTTCAACAACTGGCTGGATGGTACGCGCGAGGATCTGGTGGACATGTTCATCGTGCACACCATGGAGGAGATCCAGGGCCTGATCCAGGCGCACGACCAGTTCAAGGCGACGCTGGGCGAGGCCGACAAGGAGTTCAACCTGATCGTGAACCTGGTCCGCGAGGTGGAGTCGATTGTGAAGCAGCACCAGATCCCCGGCGGCCTGGAGAACCCCTACACCACCCTGACCGCCAACGACATGACGCGCAAGTGGAGCGACGTCCGCCAGCTGGTGCCCCAGCGCGACCAGACTTTGGCCAACGAGCTGCGCAAGCAGCAGAACAACGAGATGCTGCGCCGCCAGTTCGCCGAGAAGGCCAACATTGTCGGCCCATGGATCGAGCGGCAGATGGATGCGGTCACGGCCATTGGCATGGGACTGCAGGGATCGCTGGAGGACCAGCTGCACCGGCTCAAGGAGTACGAGCAGGCCGTCTACGCCTACAAGCCGAACATTGAGGAGCTGGAGAAGATCCACCAGGCGGTGCAGGAATCGATGATCTTCGAGAACCGATACACCAACTACACGATGGAGACGCTGCGTGTCGGCTGGGAGCAGCTGCTCACCTCGATCAACCGCAACATTAACGAGGTGGAGAACCAGATCCTCACCCGCGACTCCAAGGGCATCAGCCAGGAGCAGCTGAACGAGTTCCGCAGCAGCTTCAACCACTTCGACAAGAACCGCACCGGCCGCCTGTCGCCCGAGGAGTTCAAGTCGTGCCTGGTCTCATTGGGCTACTCGATCGGCAAGGACCGCCAGGGTGACTTGGACTTCCAGCGCATCCTCGCCGTCGTCGATCCCAACAACACTGGCTACGTGCACTTCGACGCCTTCCTCGACTTCATGACCCGCGAGAGCACCGATACCGACACTGCCGAACAAGTCATCGACTCCTTCCGAATCCTGGCAGCCGACAAGGTGAGTAACCACACAGCCTGGGGGATTTCCAAATCGCTGAATAGTTGGGGTCATATCAGTTAGGGGAATGTTGTTAATATAGCTTTTAAGAGGTTAAGAGGCAACATTTTCGTCTTTTATTCAGCACTTGTGGAAATCCACCCCTAGAAACCTGTCCCAACTCCAGTGTCTAATCATTTTCTCCCCTCTCCAGGCATACATTTTGCCCGACGAACTGCGCCGCGAGTTGCCACCAGACCAGGCCGAGTACTGCATCCAGCGCATGCCGCCCTACAAGGGACCCAACGGAGTGCCCGGCGCCCTGGACTACATGTCCTTCAGCACAGCTCTCTACGGCGAGACCGACTTGTAAGAGGGCCTGGGCACCACCTGCACCTGCACCCACATCCGACGGACTGCGTCGGCGGATCCGAGCAGAGCCAGATCATATAATAATGATAAACTTTAATAATAATAATATTAATAAACATAGATTTATTATACCTACACTCGTAGCGGTAGCTGCAGAAGAACTTCAGAGCATCATGTGAGGATGAATATATTTATTAATTTCCGTCTCGAGCCGATGTATGCGACCCACACATACAAAAAAAAAAAAGAAAAGCCAATCAAATTGTAAAATGAAACACACATACATTATATACATTTGTAAAACAGCAAGGCAACCATCAAGTGCATATCGAATATTTAAATCTAATTCTAAAACCAAGTCCAAAACAAAACAAAAACATCAACAAAACGCTAAAAACATTATTTTTTGAAATTTATGTTAATAAAAACAAAATCCATACATAAAAAAAAACAAAAACAAATGAAATCGACCAATCTCAAGGAGATTGTTTTTTTCGAAACTATGAAGAGATATATAGAGGGAGGGAGATAGCAAAACAAAATGGGGAAACTTTATACTACTTCCGTATCCGTTTATGAACCTTGAAGTTCCGCCAGATAGACAGAGACGGCGATACAGCGAGATAGAGACAGAGAGAGCGAGAGAGATACAGATAGAGATAGATAAAAGAAAGAATACTGTTCTATATTCACACAATTACTGTAGCTATTTATTCATCAACAATTTCAGAACTTTAGTTTCCGCTTAACTCGAACATATTCACATTTTCAGAACTAAAACTACAATTCATATACAAAATTCAGATAACGAAGATGAATAAAGCGATTTCTTGGTGATATTGTGTTTTCGTACAGCTGGGGAGAAGGGTTAAATAAAACTATCGGATTTCTTAGCTGGACATGGGGAAATTTATTTCTCGATTCGTTGAAATTTTGATTTTTTTGTAATCTTTTAAAAATAATTGCATAAATAAGTTGTAAATATAAGATGGGTTTTGGATCAAGTGACCTATCAGCTACAAAGTACTACTTAAACAAACGCGCACACACACACGCACGCGTTGATTCACACACAGGCACACGATTTTCCATGGGGCTTTGCAAAACCAGGTTCGATCAAGGCAATCAATGTTCATCAGGGTCACCAGAGAGTAGTCCTCTCCTCTTCCAGCTCCGACTCGCATCCGTTCCAATGAATCGGAATAGGACTATTTCTTACACACTTGCAGAGGCCTTGCTAATATTAATAAGTATCTATATCCGGAATAATTAATCGCATTGTTTCTAAGGATAATTACAGAACCTTTGGATTTTGACTTCTGTGGTTATTTGGAGATCTGTGTAGAAATCGGACTACTAATAACCTATAACTGCAGCAAATGCATTTAAGGTTGATCACAGGAAACTTGAGGAGTTGTCGTTTTTAACGATTATTAAATTTTATGGGAAGACTATAAACCTGACTTTAAGATCATGAAACAAAAGTTTTTCGCCTATATACAATTTTTCAAGTTCTTTACAAAATTGTTGACTATATCCTTTAGTTCAGCGGCCAATTTTATATAATATATTTACTGCAAGGGTATAAAAACTTCGGCTTGCCAAAGTTAGCTTCCTTTCGCGATTCATGTATGGTTTATGTATGGTATCAATCAATTTCCGCTTTATAAATACATTTTCAATGTTTAACAACAACAATTGAATTCTCATATGTGTATAAATATATCTATGCTTAACAGGCTAATTTACAATTGTATATGCTGGGTGTTTAGTATAATAAAATTGGTATATTTGTCGAGAAAGCTTTTCAATTTGTCATTTAAAATTTGCAAATCAATTTCGCTTTAATACCAACGCTCTTGCTTTGCTTAGGCAGCTACGATTTAAGAATTCCTTGGAATGGAACAGAGGCCACCAGAGGCACCGAGAACACCGATCAATTTGATTGTTTGTGGTTCACACTCGCATTTGCTTTCGATTTTGGTTTAACTTGGTTGAATTATAGTATTCTAGTTTGGATTTTGGATTTTGTAGTTTTTGTATTTATCTGTTGTTTCCATGAAAAATATGTACAGTTTAAGAGTTAATGTTAGGTCTATATAATTATCTGTATCTGTGTGTGAGTGGGTTCGGGGGCGCAATGGGTAGATGTATAAATGGAAATACAAAATGGTTATAAATTAAGAGTATACATACAAGCGAATGGTTGGTATTCGTATTCTATGTGCGGGATTGGATTGCTAGCTGCTAGTTTGTGTAGAGTGTATAGTGTATAGTGTGCGGAAAATGCTCCTGGGCTGGTTGGGATTCATGCAACAACTAAGGCTCTGTGATCCTGTTCCCCGTTTCCGGTCCTGGGATCACCAGTAGCCCAAAGTTGATATATCTTCTTGGACACAATTTATATTTTGTGCTGCATTCTCTCTTAAAGTAAGTGTGTGTGTGTGTGGGTGACAGTTTGTGTAGCAGTAGGTGTGTGTGTGTTTTGGGGTCGCTTACAAATCTATAAACCGTTTTTAGTTCTAGCAATTTTGGTATCTATAATACACGAATCGCAAGTTAATATGCCCGTAAATCTAATTAAAAAATATAGTATAAGTCTACAATGATAGAGTAGCATAGTTTAGAGCAAAGTGAATCGCTATCTCTAACTATCCATATCCGTTTCCTCATTTGCTTTCGCATCGGCATCTTCATCTTCATCTGTTCCATCATCTCCTGCATCTGTGGCATCGGCTCAAGTGCCTAACTAGTGGGTTTCTTAAAAGGTAATCGTATTCGTAACCGTATCTCGTTTTATACACAATCAACGTTATGTAATCTTAGAATTATCTTGATTTCTTATCTGTTTCATGTCTGTACGTCCATTGTGTTTTTCAGTGTATCACTTATTCTACTGCAGCCATGGAATTTTGGAGTTTGTGATATCCATGGAGCCGCCGCCGGTCACCTCTTGTTCTGAAGCTCGCCGCTTAAGCTGCTGGCCGCCTGCTTGTTGATCCTGCTGCTCCGCCTGGTGCCCACCGATGCTGCTGCTCCCCCTGCCCATGGCGGCCTCTTTCGCCGTCATCAGTCCTTGCCGGAGGAGCTGCTGCCCCCCATGTCGCCACTGGCATTTCCGCCCATCTGCTGCGGGATCACCGTCAGACTCTTGGGTATCTTCGACATGATGGCATTCTCGATGAGCTTCTGCTGGTGCTGCTGCTGTTGCTGCTGCTTGAGGGTGAACAGGCTTCCCCCCGATTTGTTCACCGCTCCACCGCTGCTCGTTGCCGTGGCTGGTTTGGCCGTGAGATGTGGCAACTTGCTGGCGGAATTGCCGGCCCCTCCTCCGTTCCCATTGAGCAGGTACTGATTGGGATCGGGGAAGTTCTTCCACAGCCAGGAACTGTTGCTGTTGTCCAGCGTACTGGGCAGCAACGCCTGGAAGTTGGGAGCCTGGCTGCCAACCTGCGGGTTGGTCAGCGGTGGCACCGGTTTGGGAGCCAAACGTGCCAGTCTGATACCGGCTCCTGCCGCTCCTCCTGGCTGCAAAGTGGGCATTTGTTGCTGTTGTTGCTGCTGCTTCTGCTGCAGCTGCTGGAGTTGTTGACGCGCCGTGTGCTGCTGGGCCAGCTTCACCATGTTGGAGAAGGCAGCCGCCGAGGCGGCAGAGTTCTGCTGCTGCTGATGCGTCTGCACCTGTTGCTGCTGCTGCTGGTTTTGCGGCTTCTGCTTGGCGTTGGCCTTGAGCATCTGGTCGCGCAGCAGCTTCTCCCTGCGCAGGATGCACATGCGGTTGTAGTCGAAGATGGAGATAAGGTATGGCTTGCCACCGGACTGCACCTGCACCAGAGCGGGAAGCCGACGCCCATCGGCGGTCTGATACAGGGCATGCGACTTATTCGGCACCTTGTGCTGATCCTCCAGCGGTATCAGCGTGGGCTTCCAACTCTTGCTCTCATGCCGCTCCTGGGCGGTTAAGGTGTCCGGCAGTATGACCACATTGGGCGGAGGTGGTCCACCTGCAGCTCGGTTTCCTGCAGCTCCTGCGCCCGTTCCAGCTCCTGCTGAAGGTCCTGCTCCAGATCGTGCAAGTTGGAGCCTCTTGCCGGGCAGATTGCTCAGCAGGCTGTTGGTCGTCGCTCCAGCTCCGCTCGTCCGCCGCCGATGTAGACTAATCAGTTCTGGTGGAGAGCTCAGCAATTGGGCCACACTTGGAGGCTTCTGGGGACCACTTGATCCCCCTGATCCGGCGCCCTGTTGCTGATGCATTGGAGGCTTCAGCTTGGACTGCAGACTGAACAGAGCAGCGGAAGCCGATTCGCTCTGGCTGCTTAGCAGCTTGTTGGCCACGGCCACGTCGAGGATCTTTTGCTGCTTCTCAAGAACATGGCTTGCCGTTGACTTGTTTGCCAGCGAAGCAATGGACGTAAGGAAGTTTTTAGATGCAGAAGTGGATGTGTGTGAGGTGGGCGTCAGCGGCACAATTTCCACAGACTTGTTCATGCCCAGGAGATTGGTCTTGAGGATACTACGACTGTTGCCAACACCGCCACCTGCGGGCACCAGTGGTGGTGCATCCTTGGACTGGGCGGGAGCAGTTGTGGCGACCTTGGTGGCGGCCACCTCCTCTGGCGAGGAAACAGCAGACGAGGAGCTGGAGATTGACGTTGAGGATCCGCTGTTGGAGGACAGCTGTGATTTTTCCTTGGGCCGTGCAATGATCGTCACTGCGTTCGAGCTGAGCTGCTTGGTTAGCTTGTCCACCGAGACTGCGCTGAAGCGTTCCAAGGGTGATTCTGACTGCCTGGCATCCGACTCTCCATCAGCCGCTCCGCCTACCCCATCCTCGCCTTCGTCATCGTCGTTGAGCTCCACCAGCGGAATGACAGGATCCACTGACGCATGCTGTTCCGCTGAAGTGGCTGCAGAGGACGAGTGGCTAGTCGTGGGTGTTGTTAGAGCGGTGGCAAGCACACTGGCACCACCCGCATGCTGAGGGAATGCCGCTGCGCTTGCTGGAACTTGAAGAAGGGCTGCCGGTGCTGCCCAATCCTCCGCAGTGGCCGTGATCGAATGAGTTTAGCCGCTGGCGAACAGTCTCCGTGTAAACCGTGGCATTGGATGAGGCGTGCGGTGCCAGGACGAGATCCCCGTTACGGTAGTACTTCTCCAATAGGATTAAGTGGCGCAGGAAGGAGCTCTGGTTGCCGTACGGCTTCTGCAACTCTTCCCAAAGGCGGCGCGTCGGCTCGTCGTACTGCAGGAACGTCTGCACCCGCGTCCAGCCCTCCGGCGTCCGCTGGCTGCTGCTGCATCCGAAGGGCACCTTAAACTGCACGCCCAGCTCTTCCTCGCCGTGGAATAGTTCACAAAATAATTCACAAAATAACAAAATCCATACATAAAAAAAAACAAAAACAAATGAAATCGACCAATCTCAAGGAGATTGTTTTTTTCGAAACTATGAAGAGATATATAGAGGGAGGGAGATAGCAAAACAAAATGGGGAAACTTTATACTACTTCCGTATCCGTTTATGAACCTTGAAGTTCCGCCAGATAGACAGAGACGGCGATACAGCGAGATAGAGACAGAGAGAGCGAGAGAGATACAGATAGAGATAGATAAAAGAAAGAATACTGTTCTATATTCACACAATTACTGTAGCTATTTATTCATCAACAATTTCAGAACTTTAGTTTCCGCTTAACTCGAACATATTCACATTTTCAGAACTAAAACTACAATTCATATACAAAATTCAGATAACGAAGATGAATAAAGCGATTTCTTGGTGATATTGTGTTTTCGTACAGCTGGGGAGAAGGGTTAAATAAAACTATCGGATTTCTTAGCTGGACATGGGGAAATTTATTTCTCGATTCGTTGAAATTTTGATTTTTTTGTAATCTTTTAAAAATAATTGCATAAATAAGTTGTAAATATAAGATGGGTTTTGGATCAAGTGACCTATCAGCTACAAAGTACTACTTAAACAAACGCGCACACACACACGCACGCGTTGATTCACACACAGGCACACGATTTTCCATGGGGCTTTGCAAAACCAGGTTCGATCAAGGCAATCAATGTTCATCAGGGTCACCAGAGAGTAGTCCTCTCCTCTTCCAGCTCCGACTCGCATCCGTTCCAATGAATCGGAATAGGACTATTTCTTACACACTTGCAGAGGCCTTGCTAATATTAATAAGTATCTATATCCGGAATAATTAATCGCATTGTTTCTAAGGATAATTACAGAACCTTTGGATTTTGACTTCTGTGGTTATTTGGAGATCTGTGTAGAAATCGGACTACTAATAACCTATAACTGCAGCAAATGCATTTAAGGTTGATCACAGGAAACTTGAGGAGTTGTCGTTTTTAACGATTATTAAATTTTATGGGAAGACTATAAACCTGACTTTAAGATCATGAAACAAAAGTTTTTCGCCTATATACAATTTTTCAAGTTCTTTACGTTGACTATATCCTTTAGTTCAGCGGCCAATTTTATATAATATATTTACTGCAAGGGTATAAAAACTTCGGCTTGCCAAAGTTAGCTTCCTTTCGCGATTCATGTATGGTTTATGTATGGTATCAATCAATTTCCGCTTTATAAATACATTTTCAATGTTTAACAACAACAATTGAATTCTCATATGTGTATAAATATATCTATGCTTAACAGGCTAATTTACAATTGTATATGCTGGGTGTTTAGTATAATAAAATTGGTATATTTGTCGAGAAAGCTTTTCAATTTGTCATTTAAAATTTGCAAATCAATTTCGCTTTAATACCAACGCTCTTGCTTTGCTTAGGCAGCTACGATTTAAGAATTCCTTGGAATGGAACAGAGGCCACCAGAGGCACCGAGAACACCGATCAATTTGATTGTTTGTGGTTCACACTCGCATTTGCTTTCGATTTTGGTTTAACTTGGTTGAATTATAGTATTCTAGTTTGGATTTTGGATTTTGTAGTTTTTGTATTTATCTGTTGTTTCCATGAAAAATATGTACAGTTTAAGAGTTAATGTTAGGTCTATATAATTATCTGTATCTGTGTGTGAGTGGGTTCGGGGGCGCAATGGGTAGATGTATAAATGGAAATACAAAATGGTTATAAATTAAGAGTATACATACAAGCGAATGGTTGGTATTCGTATTCTATGTGCGGGATTGGATTGCTAGCTGCTAGTTTGTGTAGAGTGTATAGTGTATAGTGTGCGGAAAATGCTCCTGGGCTGGTTGGGATTCATGCAACAACTAAGGCTCTGTGATCCTGTTCCCCGTTTCCGGTCCTGGGATCACCAGTAGCCCAAAGTTGATATATCTTCTTGGACACAATTTATATTTTGTGCTGCATTCTCTCTTAAAGTAAGTGTGTGTGTGTGTGGGTGACAGTTTGTGTAGCAGTAGGTGTGTGTGTGTTTTGGGGTCGCTTACAAATCTATAAACCGTTTTTAGTTCTAGCAATTTTGGTATCTATAATACACGAATCGCAAGTTAATATGCCCGTAAATCTAATTAAAAAAATATAGTATAAGTCTACAATGATAGAGTAGCATAGTTTAGAGCAAAGTGAATCGCTATCTCTAACTATCCATATCCGTTTCCTCATTTGCTTTCGCATCGGCATCTTCATCTTCATCTGTTCCATCATCTCCTGCATCTGTGGCATCGGCTCAAGTGCCTAACTAGTGGGTTTCTTAAAAGGTAATCGTATTCGTAACCGTATCTCGTTTTATACACAATCAACGTTATGTAATCTTAGAATTATCTTGATTTCTTATCTGTTTCATGTCTGTACGTCCATTGTGTTTTTCAGTGTATCACTTATTCTACTGCAGCCATGGAATTTTGGAGTTTGTGATATCCATGGAGCCGCCGCCGGTCACCTCTTGTTCTGAAGCTCGCCGCTTAAGCTGCTGGCCGCCTGCTTGTTGATCCTGCTGCTCCGCCTGGTGCCCACCGATGCTGCTGCTCCCCCTGCCCATGGCGGCCTCTTTCGCCGTCATCAGTCCTTGCCGGAGGAGCTGCTGCCCCCATGTCGCCACTGGCATTTCCGCCCATCTGCTGCGGGATCACCGTCAGACTCTTGGGTATCTTCGACATGATGGCATTCTCGATGAGCTTCTGCTGGTGCTGCTGCTGTTGCTGCTGCTTGAGGGTGAACAGGCTTCCCCCCGATTTGTTCACCGCTCCACCGCTGCTCGTTGCCGTGGCTGGTTTGGCCGTGAGATGTGGCAACTTGCTGGCGGAATTGCCGGCCCCTCCTCCGTTCCCATTGAGCAGGTACTGATTGGGATCGGGGAAGTTCTTCCACAGCCAGGAACTGTTGCTGTTGTCCAGCGTACTGGGCAGCAACGCCTGGAAGTTGGGAGCCTGGCTGCCAACCTGCGGGTTGGTCAGCGGTGGCACCGGTTTGGGAGCCAAACGTGCCAGTCTGATACCGGCTCCTGCCGCTCCTCCTGGCTGCAAAGTGGGCATTTGTTGCTGTTGTTGCTGCTGCTTCTGCTGCAGCTGCTGGAGTTGTTGACGCGCCGTGTGCTGCTGGGCCAGCTTCACCATGTTGGAGAAGGCAGCCGCCGAGGCGGCAGAGTTCTGCTGCTGCTGATGCGTCTGCACCTGTTGCTGCTGCTGCTGGTTTTGCGGCTTCTGCTTGGCGTTGGCCTTGAGCATCTGGTCGCGCAGCAGCTTCTCCCTGCGCAGGATGCACATGCGGTTGTAGTCGAAGATGGAGATAAGGTATGGCTTGCCACCGGACTGCACCTGCACCAGAGCGGGAAGCCGACGCCCATCGGCGGTCTGATACAGGGCATGCGACTTATTCGGCACCTTGTGCTGATCCTCCAGCGGTATCAGCGTGGGCTTCCAACTCTTGCTCTCATGCCGCTCCTGGGCGGTTAAGGTGTCCGGCAGTATGACCACATTGGGCGGAGGTGGTCCACCTGCAGCTCGGTTTCCTGCAGCTCCTGCGCCCGTTCCAGCTCCTGCTGAAGGTCCTGCTCCAGATCGTGCAAGTTGGAGCCTCTTGCCGGGCAGATTGCTCAGCAGGCTGTTGGTCGTCGCTCCAGCTCCGCTCGTCCGCCGCCGATGTAGACTAATCAGTTCTGGTGGAGAGCTCAGCAATTGGGCCACACTTGGAGGCTTCTGGGGACCACTTGATCCCCCTGATCCGGCGCCCTGTTGCTGATGCATTGGAGGCTTCAGCTTGGACTGCAGACTGAACAGAGCAGCGGAAGCCGATTCGCTCTGGCTGCTTAGCAGCTTGTTGGCCACGGCCACGTCGAGGATCTTTTGCTGCTTCTCAAGAACATGGCTTGCCGTTGACTTGTTTGCCAGCGAAGCAATGGACGTAAGGAAGTTTTTAGATGCAGAAGTGGATGTGTGTGAGGTGGGCGTCAGCGGCACAATTTCCACAGACTTGTTCATGCCCAGGAGATTGGTCTTGAGGATACTACGACTGTTGCCAACACCGCCACCTGCGGGCACCAGTGGTGGTGCATCCTTGGACTGGGCGGGAGCAGCTGTGGCGACCTTGGTGGCGGCCACCTCCTCTGGCGAGGAAACAGCAGACGAGGAGCTGGAGATTGACGTTGAGGATCCGCTGTTGGAGGACAGCTGTGATTTTTCCTTGGGCCGTGCAATGATCGTCACTGCGTTCGAGCTGAGCTGCTTGGTTAGCTTGTCCACCGAGACTGCGCTGAAGCGTTCCAAGGGTGATTCTGACTGCCTGGCATCCGACTCTCCATCAGCCGCTCCGCCTACCCCATCCTCGCCTTCGTCATCGTCGTTGAGCTCCACCAGCGGAATGACAGGATCCACTGACGCATGCTGTTCCGCTGAAGTGGCTGCAGAGGACGAGTGGCTAGTCGTGGGTGTTGTTAGAGCGGTGGCAAGCACACTGGCACCACCCGCATGCTGAGGAATGCCGCTGCGCTTGCTGGAACTTGAAGAAGGGCTGCCGGTGCTGCCCAATCCTCCGCAGTGGCCGTGATCGAATGAGTTTAGCCGCTGGCGAACAGTCTCCGTGTAAACCGTGGCATTGGATGAGGCGTGCGGTGCCAGGACGAGATCCCCGTTACGGTAGTACTTCTCCAATAGGATTAAGTGGCGCAGGAAGGAGCTCTGGTTGCCGTACGGCTTCTGCAACTCTTCCCAAAGGCGGCGCGTCGGCTCGTCGTACTGCAGGAACGTCTGCACCCGCGTCCAGCCCTCCGGCGTCCGCTGGCTGCTGCTGCATCCGAAGGGCACCTTAAACTGCACGCCCAGCTCTTCCTCGCCGTGGAATAGTTCACGCATCGAAATGTTCGGATTTCCACGAAGCACGTTCGAGATGTCTGCACCAGATCCGTTTCCTACAGCACCCGCTCCAGCGGCTGCTCCTGCACCCGCTGCTCCTGCAGAATCTGCTCCCAGATTCTGCTGCAGGATGGCCTGAAGCTTGGACATTTGCTTGCAGGTGTCCAGGGCCGTGTTCGAGGAGGTACTCGAGTTGGAGTCGGTAGGTCCATCATAGTCCACTACCAACGGCATTTCGGCATCCTCGTGGCAGTCTGTCGTTGCCCTCTCAGTCTCTGCCGTAGTGGGTGTCTCTTCTTCATCTGCCTCAGACACTTCGTGGCTGCCATCCTGCAGATTGTGAACCTTGAGAAGTCTGTGTTTCAAAGAAATGGAAAAAACTCAATGAGTTACATACGGATCAAATACAATTATATTTTCTAAACCCACCTCTTCCTGTAGTTCTTGACGAACTCCGCCTTTTGGGACTTGGTGCTATCCGGGGGCTTCATCAGCAGGTTGGCAAAGTAGCGGCACAGCTTACAGACGGCGGTGCCCATGCCCAGCTGAACCGGTATGCCCATCTCGGACAGCGCTTTTTCCAGCCGATCCGTGTCCTGCTAAGAAAGAATATAAGTTAGCACACTCTTCGGATCAGATGAACTAACAGTAGACTCACCGTGGTTATGTTGTACATATGGTTCTTGCCCAACCGCCGCTTGCAGAGCACGCAGCCCGAGAACTGGATGACTGTGTTGTAGTGCGACTCGCACAGCCACACGATCGAGGAGCCGGCGGGAATCTCTAGGTTGAGCTGGAACTTCTTCACGCTCTTGCGGATGCACTTGCGCCGGAGCGAGTGTCCTGCCGCCTCGACGCAGTCCTTAACGGCGCAGGAGCGATGGTGCACGGCTCCCGTTGCCGACGAGCCCGCTTCTTCTCCCACCTCCGAAATAACGCCACTGTCGCCGACAAAGTGCTTCTCCAGTGCAGCGGACCCCGCTGAGCAGCCCACGCTCGTGTTCAAATGACTTGGAGCCGAGAGACGCTTCTTGTATGATGGCGCATTCGCTCGGCGATCCACGTGTCTGAAACAGGCGTCGCACAAACAGTTATCCACCGTCAGCTTCTCCTCGTCTGCAAATGATAAGGAAACTAGCGAACATCAGAGGAGGTAGAGAAAGATATCAGCAAAATCAAGAAGATAACCTCGCAAAACTGCATAAGATATTAAGTAAGAATATTATTCGGTCTAGCCGTATACTTACTGGCTAAGATCTTTTGCTGGCGCTCCACGGACTTGATCTGGCCCACGTGGCAGGGGGTGTCATAGAGTCCAAACTTGCCGCTGCAGTAATAGCACTGGTCTTCGCACAGCCTCCCCGGGTGAAACTTGAACGAGGAGGCCTTCTCGGGAATGAGGATCTTCTCCTTCTCGTCCTTCTTCACCATCTGGTAGGAACCGTGCTCCGCCTGTCCCTGACTCTCCGAGTGTGACGAATCTGTAGCAAAAGATAGCTAGTTAGGGCGATATATTCTTCGGTTCTTTAGCAGATTGTTCTTCCGTCAGTTCGTTTGTATCCATATGTGTACGGTGGGAATGGGTAATGGGAATGAAAGTGACGGTGCCATATGTACAGTGCGGAAAAATGGGGGCTAAGCTGATAACTTCTCGGCAGAGAAATTGAAATGAATGTGAAGGGGAAATCAAACCGAGCCATCATTCCGATAAGGAAGGTTTTTCAAAGCTGTAATTAACTATAGTAAACATTATTTAATCAACATAACTTTAAAACTTTTTAAATACTAAAAAAAAAACTTTAAAAAAATATTTCCTAAACAACACAAACAGTGAGTTGCAATGTTGTGCAGAAATTCAGAAGCTTTCATTGTTTAAATAGCAACTCGGCTCCGCTCGTTTTCGGTCGGTTTGATTTCTTAGAGTGAAAACAGCCAGCTAGGCTAATTGAAGCACATGATTCCGAATGAGAGATCTGATCTATACGCACAGCAATGGACCGCAGAGTTGCTGCCGTGCAAGGCTACCGAGGAGTGGTGGTTGTTAGTCGAGCTGAAACGGTTATTGGTCTTGCGGCCGGGATTACCCGTGGTTACAATTAACTTTCTCGCACCTTCGTTCTGTAATGAAAAGATGGGTAAGCAGCTATCGTTAGTCATTTTCCAGGAGAGGAATCGTATAGGCAGCCTTACCTCGTTTTGAATTGTGTAGTAGGAGTCCTCGGCGTGGGTGCCATACTGGTCGGCGGATCGGTCCGCAGCCCCATGTCCACGAGCCCGACCCTTTTGGAATGTCATCTTCAGCGATTGCCGGCGGACTCCAGAACCTGCTCCCGCACCTGATCCTGAGCCCAAAGCACCGCTTGATTTGCGTGTGGCACTGCCCACCGATGAGGAGGACGTGGAGGAGGCGGAAGAGGAGCCACTGCCGCCATGGATAACTGTCCCCGTGGGAAGGCCTCCACTGCCGCCCACGCCTCCATTGCTGCTCCTGTTCAGCTTGATGACTGTCTTTAGAGTACCGCTAGATTCCACATGGGTGGCACTGCCTCCTCCCCGCGCTCCCTGCCGCTTGTGCTGGTTGTGCTGATGCTGCTGGTGCTGCAGTTGCGCCTGGCGAGTCTGGGCCTCGAGCAGAATCTTTCGCCTCTGTTCAGCGGCCTGGTGCGTGAGTAGACCAAGGTTCTGCAGGTGGATTTCCTGCTCTTGTCGCAGCAGTTGCAGGTGCTCGTCGCAGATCGATTCCTGCTTGCCGTTCGGTTTTTCATCCACCTCCATATCCGTGACCTGCTCCTTGAGCAGCAGCTCCGGCTTCTGTTCGGCAGCAATGACTGCCAGTGGTTTCTCCTCGTCCTCATCCTCCTTAAGGGTCAACTGGATGTCCAGACCCTCGGCAGCAGTGCTGGCAGCAGACGTGGACAGATTCTCCTTGTTATCCTCGGGACCGCCGTCCGTATCCGTGGCATCTTCTACCAGGTGTTCGGCTAACACTAGATCCGTTTGCTGCTTAATGTCGATATAGGATTCCTCGACTTCCAAAGCCACCATTTCGTCCGCGGGCGAAGGCTCACATTTCGCCGTCTCCTCGTCCGCAGCTAAGGGTTCCTTCACGTCGCTTTTGGATTCGGGCAGTGTAACATCCTCGGATTGCTCGATATCAGCCTTTTGCTGGCTCAACGCATTGCCACTGGCGTCTAGTACACCCTCTTTGGCCAGCTCCTCCATAATCTCGTGATCGAAATCATCGTAGTCATCTGAATGGAAGAACTGCACATTACCCTCTGGCTTAGTCTTTTCTTCCGGCTGATCTGGTATCTCATCGCCATTGAAGAGGCTATCCAGCAGCAGCTCATGGCCATCGCTGTCCGAGTTTAGGGCCACCAGCTCACCTGCTTTTATTGAGCTATTTGAACAGGTGTCTTCCTCTGCTTCGGTTGTAATTTCGTCTGTAAATTTATTAGGAATTTCCCCAGGATGTGCACCAAGAATTTCAGAAAGAACTTCAGCTGCAGGTTCTAGTGCGGCAACAGCTTCCGTTCCTTCTCCTGCTTCCAGTTGAGGATCTTTTTCATGCTCCTCTTTCTTTTCATGGTGCTCATCGGTTTGCGACTTAGGACATTCAGCTTGGGTAACATCCTTATCTAAAGACATGTCCACATCTGCTTCCGTGTCATTGTTGCTCACAGTCTGGACGATCTCGCCCAGTTCCGGATCCTTCTCGATGCCAAGGTTATTTTCTAAGAATTCGGGCTTCTTGTAGAACTTCCGCACACTGACTGCACTCACGCCCTCGCTAATCATCTCCGGGCTGAGCGATTGAGCCTTCCCCGGAGCTGCACAGACCAGGGCAGAATGAGTTCCGGATTGCGATGGGGATTCCTCGGCTGCTGTTGCCGGTGACTCTTTAGGCTTAACCGCGGGATCAGCAGGCTTACTGATGCTTTCAGTATCCACAGTGAGTGGTTCGATGCAGGAATGACCATTGGCACTCGAAGCACCAGAAGTGGAGGGCAGGCTCTCCGGCAGCAGACTGTCGTCGAAGTCTGGCGTCAGCTTCTCCTGCTTGATTTCCACGGCGGCCAGCAGCAACTCGTCCATGGACGAGGCCATACTGTCCTTGGAGTCCTCGTCCCCGGCGCCGCCCTGCGAGCTGGGTGCCAGAGAGCTGGCCGAGGCAGTCTTCCGTGTGCTGGAGCCCACTCGCCGCCGCTTCGGTGGCGCTGGTTCCTGAGCCACTGGTGTCAGGATACCCGGTGATCCTGCCTTGCTCAGTCGCGTGGCTCGCGTGGTGGCCGCCGGCGAGGAGGAGTTTCTGTTCTGCGGGCGCCCACGTCCCCGACGGCTGCCCGAGATTGGAGCTGGCGTTGGCGTAGGTGTGGGAGTAGGCGTGACTGATGGAGATATAGAGCTGACCTCGCTGGCATCCATAGGTTCCTGCTTGATGGACATAGCGGCGGCGTCCTCTTCTGGTGCCTCCACCTCCTCTGTCTTTACCACTTCGACCTTACTGTATTTTGCGCTGCTGGAGGCCTCCTGATCAGCTTCAGCATCTTGGGACCTCTTCCGTTTCACCGCAGGCTCAATGGGTGGAGCCACTGCCGCCAGCTTCTTCCGTCGACCCCGAGAAGGAAGCGGTTGCTCTGTGGCTGAGGAGGAGGCGGCTGTTAAGGACGCGGAGGATGAGAGGATGGCTCCCACGGTGGAGGATTGGCGACGGTTGCGGGTGACCCGCGTGTTTATCACCTGCTCTTGGGCATGTGATTTGCGGGTGACGCGATTGCAAGTGGGTGTCACTGGCGCGATTGGCACCACTTGCGCCACTGTTTCCTTCACCTTTTCCTTCTCTTTATCTGTGTCCTTTTCTTTATTTGAATCAGTATATTTTTCTTTCTCCGTATCTTTTTCTTTCTCTGCAGCTTTTTCTTTATCTTTCTCTGTATCTTTTCCCTTCTGTGCAGATATTTCTTTCTCTGAAATTAATTCTGTTTTAGCAGCCCTTTCTTTTTCTGTATTCTCGTGATCCTTTTGCTTATCGCTTTCCCGATTTTCATCCTTGTCTTTTATTTCTGTATGGTCTTTTGTGTCCGTGGCAAGTGAGGATTCCAGCTCGTTATCCTCGCCGGCTTGTTCCTTGGCCTGCCCAGGCGTTGATCCAGTTGCAGCTCCTGCATCTGCTGCCCCTGCAGGCGCCTCCTCGGACTTGACTTCTTTGGCTTCTTTCAGATCCTTGATGGACTTGCGTCCGCGTATGACGGGCGCTATTGATCGCTCCACAGAGCTCTTCCTTTGGCAGCCCGATCCCGTTGGCTCCTCGGTGTCCAGCGCTCCGTCGCCGACCTCACGCCTGCTAGTCGTGGGCGAGCTGAGTAGGAGCAGTGGCGACGAGTGCCTGGTAACCCTCACGCTCTTGGCCGCCACCCCATCACTAGCGTTGGGTGTGACGGCCGGCGTGAGCGTTGGCGTGGGCGTGGATCTAGGCGTCTTGGGTGCTGGACAGGATTCCTTGACATCCTGCTCCTTGTCCCCTTCCACCTCTACTGCTGCTGTTGACTCCTCCGCCGCCTCCACTGGCGGCGTTGGAGTTGTTGTTTTGATAATGATGGCCAGCTCTTCGCCGTCGCCCGTTGTTGGCTCCTCGTTGCTGGCCGGAATCTCCACGCTGGCATTGGCATTGTCGTCCAGGGATGCAGCTGCTCCTGTGGCTTCGTCAGCTCCTCCAGCGCCTACTGGCGGCTTCCGGCTAGACATTCTCGAGGGGCCTTGGGCAGCTGCTGCCGACGTTGCTGCTCCTATGTTGGCCGCTCCCCCGTCGCCTTCTGGGGCTGCTGCTCCACCACCTGTTGCTCCGTGCGATCCGATGCTGATTGTTTCCAGTTCGAGTCGCAGTGATTTGGTCCCATTGGTTGACTGTGATGTGGAGGATTACCTGCAAGATGGGGAGAAAAAGAGTAAGTAAACAAGAACAAGTAGAATAACTAATACGCCATGTGGGAATAATATTCTAGTTTGCAAGGGAAAAAATCACTGAACCCGGAAGTAGGTTAAGTGCTCGATTTTTTCTTTATATATATCGCCATTCTGTTCATGGCCTAACCGTAGTAAACTCTTACAAAACATCAGACTCCAAAAATGAGATTATTCTTCAGAAAATATTAGAATATAAGAATTAAGAATGTACACCAAATCTTTAAGTCAATCTGAAAAAATGTAATATTTTTTCTTATCTTCTAATTTCAATTTCGGATTGTGAAAAGAATTTCCCCAACCATTTTTGAAAACACTGATAAGCATTTGTAAATGCCCTGAACTTATTGAAAACATTGATAAGCCTTTAGATAGCTAAGCTGAAAATTAGTTTAAAAGACTCATTTAATGTTTTCTTTAGGATAATCTGATATAGTAAACAGATTGCCAAATAAAAGGTATTAATATGCCCTTGGAAGGGTAAATTAAAAAATTAAATAAAAAGCATTCCAAGCATAAAAAACTTAAAAGCATCAACTAAGATAAACAGAAAATAATTTCTTAATAAAAGCTGTTGAAAAAAAACAACAATAAACAAGAGAATCTCAAAATAATTTGTAATCAGATGTGAGGTAAAGAGAGCTGAACTAAATACCAGCACCAAACGCAACTATCTAGTTAGAGAAAATGTAATATTTTTTAGAGGAATTTTAAAAGGATGTTAAAATACAAACGGCGATTAAGAGCTGGATTGATAATTTTCTCCTACCTAACCCGAGCCAAAGCGAAAACCTAAGCGAATATCTAACTGGTAACCGTAGTTTTATGGCCCTGGCTTTCACCTGGCAAAAACGCAAGCCGCTTTCTTAGCCCCTTTCAGCTTATCCCAATTGCAAGCCAATCCCCAGGACAATCCGTCCACTCGACTCCAGTAAAATGCGACTAGAACATTAAACATGCTTTTGCGGTTGCCAGCAAGCCGCCTTCTCCTTTCCAGCCCCCCCCGGTTCCTCCCCTTTTTTACCGATTCTGAAAAACAAGTTTTGGCAGCAGCTGGGAGCTGCGAGAATGCGAGGAAAGCGAAACGAGAAGAGAGGAGAGAGAAGAGACTGCCAGACCAAGAAGAAGCAGGTCAAAGCGGACAAGCCGAAGAACTGATGAGATGTTGAATAATCCTCAAATTAAGTATCCTGCTTCTGATTCTGCATCTTCGTATGATGATCCCAGTGGATTTTTACAGGCGCCATTTTAGTGTGACCAGAGGGGGCGGAGCGACCGTCGCTGCGGCTGCGAGATTTCAAATTGCAGATTGCACCGGCGAAGAAAAGCGGAAAACTTACACGGACACACACGCACACCGCCAAGTCACAACTGTCACGGCGACGGCAACAAAACAGACGAATAAAGGAAGTGAAAGAGAATGGCAAATAACAAAATGAAGACCCCGGAGCCGTATCGATGTGGGTATATACACCACCAAGTAGAACTCACACACACACACGCAGGGCACAGTGTGCAAAAACGCCGCGATTGTAAACACGGACGGAACGGAAGAAGCGGAGGAAGCAGAGGAAGCGAACGGAAACTGGCCGCACAATTTTCACAAAGCGGAAAAGTTGTCAAAGAATTGGCAGAGTTGCCAACTTTTTTCAAACACACACACACTCTCGCTCGCTCGCTCATTCGGCGAAAAGGAAAATCCGTGGAAACTGTCTTCGGCAGAGTTGCAACAAATATGAAGGGGGAAAAGCGAGACGGAGAACCAGAACAGTGGGGCACACACTCAAAAAATGGGTGGCAGTGACGTACAAGCACACCCAAAGCAAGCGCACAGACACGACCAGTGCACACGCACACACACACAACAAGCAGGCAGGCAGGCAGCAAGCAGCAGAAAATTTCTTTTTCACTAGGTTTTCGCAAAAAATACGAACGCGAGCAATAATAAACGAATGTCTTTTGGCACCGCCGAGTACAGCTTTTCTTTTCACCAGGCACTCCGCACACTCACTATCCCGAGTGGGCGAGGAAAACCCTTTCCTTGCCTTTCCTTTTCTGTCCGTTCCGCAGGTACTCACCGAATAGCAACAAACAAAAAAAAATAATAATAATAAAATAAAATGCAGAACCCGAACAAGAGTTGTGAACGCAAACACGGTGCGAAGCGAAATAACGAGCCAAAATGGAGAGCAAGAGAGCGTCGCTTGTTCCGCAGCGAAAAAGCGAATTTGCCGTGGCTCGCCGCACTCTTCGCCGCTCGATATACCCACTATCGCAGACAGTTTGGTGCAACCCTGCTACTAAGCGGCGACAGGCAATCCTTTTGCCAGGATTTGCTTATTATCTCTGGCCATAATTACAAAAGCTAATATTACGATTTCTCACTAGTTTTGGGACAAAGCTACACTCACATGATTTAAGGACGAAGTGCGCTTTGAACTGTAATTATTTAATTATGGGGACTTACTTATTTCCGTCAACGAAATGTACTAAATGGTTGTTTTGTTTTTATAGTATTCCACAAAGTACATGCATAAAAAAAGATAAAAGATTAGCAATATTACCACACAAATAAACAGTTTCGAGCTTCTTAAAACTACATGGCTTGCATATTATTTGTGATGTTATACCATATTGTTCCTTAAAATGTTTATAGAAATATAGGTACCGACAAGGTTTCTATATTCATAACACTTTTTCTTAAGTCTTATTCTTAATTACTTTCTTTACTTATTTCTTTATCGGCCGAAATGATGTCGTATTATAAACAACATTATTCGTACAAGAAAACTAATATAAATAATTTAATTTCAGATCTGTACTCTCTGTAAACATTATAACCGGCACCTGGACTTAACAATATTTTATTTAGTTTATCAATTAAGCCAATTGCTGTAATTGAAACAGAACTATTAATTAAATATTTTTGTGTTGATAATCAATATAATATTATTGAAGTTGTAAAATATATAGGAATAATAATCCTTAAATATTTTTCCTATATCTATTACTTCAATAATATTCCTCAAGAACTCTTCAAATCGATTTGGTCTTAAGAAAATACACCGCTTTTCTATTAAAAGGTGAAACGGGGCTACAAATCTAGAACATATATTGGCTATCATAGGGCATTGCACACGTCGTCGTTGGTTTTTTCCCGGTGTACGTGTTGTTTTTGGCAAATGTTTGTTCGCTCTTTTTTCGCCGCGCGCTCTCTCCCTCTCTAATTCGCCGCTACGTCGGTTGTTGCTGCTGCTGATGCGTCTTTTGTTGCGTCGGCAAAAAGCGAAAAAGGACTCAGGGATAACAAAACGGGGGTGGTAATTGGGAAAAAGGTAGAAGTAGAAGCAGCAACAGCAACGATTGCCTTTCTAGGCCAAGCACGTTTCGCTTGTCCTGCGGATTTTCCCATATTTCCCTCAACTTACGATGCTGTGGCGTAGGTTGTTGCATGCCGATTTTCCTTTTCCCCAAGGCTAAGCCACAAGGTGCTAAGGGACTGAATCCTGCAAGTGTCAGGCGGCGTCCTTATGCGGTTTTTTTTTAGCCAACACCCAAGAATTATTCCACCCACCCAAGGACCATTGCGATAACATGTAACTGGGTTAAAGGCAAAAGCCTTAATTGCTGTGAAAATGAGGGAAAATCAATAGCTTTTTGCATCGCCTTCACATTGTTATGCAGCCTTCTTCTATTCGTTTTTCATTTTACTGCTTCTCGAGGGGCTCGTAAAGCGATTTTCCCGAACTGGGTCAAGTGAGTGGCCAGGACACACGATTTTCCCTAGCCACTGACATCATCAATTAGTTATAAAGACCAAGGCCAATTCGGTCGATTATTGTGGTTAATGGGCCTTCCTTTTTGATCCTGGCATCGATCGATCGAATTTCTTCATACATAAACCTGTTTTGGGTCAGGAAAATGCTTTTGCATTCCGCCCACTCGATTAATTTCACCTAGAAAACGTTTTTTTCTGTTTCTTTACTGTGCGGTGCGCTCACATTTACATCAACGCACACATACACACACACGCCTTGTGTGTTTGTGTGCAGCGCCAAAGGCAATTGGAAAACGTAATGGACGACGAAACGCCACGCAGCAAAGCAGAAGCACCGATAGGCCAAGTGCGCAAAGCGCAATCGGAGATATGTGGATAAAAAGAAAACTTCCGGCAGAGCCCCAAAGCTCCACAAAAAAACGACTACAGATAAAAGAAGCACACAAAAACATACATATGCATACATATAAATATGAAAACCCACGTGAATGGGAATGAGAGAGCGATGGAGAGCCAAATAGAGATCGCGGCGAATTCGCAGAGTTTTCAGAAGTCCAGTATTTGCGTCTGTGGTTGTCTTGGCAAGATTTTTCCCATTTTCCCAGGTGTGTGGCTGTGTGTGAGTGCCCCCCAATTCGCAGACGGCGAGAAAACAGTTAAATTCCACACGCAAACAAGGCTTTTATGGCCACACACACAGCCACATTTTTTGCGCTCTTCGCCTTTGCCTCGCTCTTTATCGGTCTGCTCTTTTCGTCATTGCAGCGTCATTCGTTTTCGTTTCGAACGGCCGCCATATTGGTTTGTAGCGCCATTTTCTGGCGCTTTTTTCACCCACAGGGGTCCCATTAACCTAGTATATTCTTTTGGCATTCGATCGTACTCGCTGAGTACTAACTGTTTTATGTTTGAAATGTGGGGTTTCGTGCGATTTAGGGGGAGAAAACCTTGGTGAAAAATTGGCCCATTAACATAAGCATGCTGACTCGCTCGCCCCCGCCCCTCTCTTTCTACCAACCCTCCTCTCAGCGGCAAGTGGGGCTAGAGCTCGATGCCTCTCACGACATATCGATATATTGAGTGCTTACTTTTGAATGCCGATTTTGATGTGGCAGTATATATACCTAAGCATTATATTATTTTTTTGTATATTTTCAATTCTCACGCGACCAGTTTTTGTTATATTTGTAAAAACAATAAGCTTTGCAAGTTTGTAAATTACTTAATAATTTTATTTTATTGTCTAAATTATAAGCTCTTGTTTTTATATCCTGAATTTGGTGCCCATTTCACTGGTGCCTATTATTACTCATTGTAAGTTTTCTTATTTTCTTAAAAAACTAAATTTAATTTCCACTCTCAATTAAATAGGACATTTACTTAAAACTGTACATATCATGAAATTTAACAATATATACCTTATGTTCATTGTTTAATTCGTAAATGAGGCTGTTGATTTATATTTTTCCGGATCTTGACCATAACAACACATTTTTTAAGGGTTTTTGTTGTTTCTTTGCCAAATTAAGACGCAAACCCAAAAGAATGACTGTTTTGAGAGCCTATACAATCAATTCCAGGTTGATTTGGAAAATTTTACTTTTTCAGCGTTTTTCGCATTTTTTATAAGGGGTAACACTTGATTTTTTTCCAAAATCGGACCAAAATAAAATTTTTGACCTGAGTATACCAATGGATTGGAAATTTTGTAACGAATTCAACGAGGTATGACATTCTAAGATCTGACCATTATTTCCAAGGGTTTTGATAAAAAACTGAAATAACGAGCTGTTTTTTTCTGGATTTTGGCCATTAAAACACATTTTTTAAGGGTTTTTTTGTTGTTTATTTGCCAAATTAAGACGCAAAGCCAAAAGAATGACTGTTTTGAGCAACTGAGAGCCCATACAATCATTTCCAGGTAGATTTGGAAAATTTTATTTTTTGAGCGTTTTTCGCATTTTTCATAAGGGGTAACACTTGATTTTTTTCCAAAATTGGGCCAAAATAAAATTTTTGAGCTGAGTATACCAATGGATTGGAAATTTTGTAACGAATTCAACGAGGTATGATATTCTAAGATCTGACCATTATTTCCAAGGGTTTTGATAAAAACTGAAATAACGAGCTGTTTTTTTTCTGGATTTTGGCCATTAAAACACATTTTTTAAGGGTTTTTTGTTGTTTCTTTGCCAAATTAAGACGCAAAGCCAAAAGAATGACTGTTTTGAGCAACTGAGAGCCCATACAATCATTTCCAGGTAGATTTGGAAATTTTTTTTTTTTGAGCGTTTTTCGCATTTTTCATAAGGGGTAACACTTGATTTTTTTCCAAAATTGGGCCAAAATAAAATTTTTGAGCTGAGTATACTAATCGATTGGAAATTTTGTAACGAATTCAACGAGGTATGACATTCCAAGATTTGGCCATTATTTCCAAGGGTTTTGATTAAAAAACTGAAAAAACGAGCGGTTTTTTCTGGATTTTGGCCATTAAAACACATTTTTTAAGGGTTTTTTGTTGTTTCTTTGTTAAATTAAGACGTAAAGCCAAAAGAATGACTGTTTTAAGCAGCTGAGAGCCTATACAATCAATTCCAGGTTGATTTGGAACATTTTATCTTTTCAGCGTTTTTTGCATTTTTTATAAGGGGTAACACTTGATTTATTTGCGAAATTGGGCCAAAATAAAATTTTTGAGCTGAGTATACTAATCGATTGGAAATTTTGTAACGAATTCAACGAGGTATGACATTCCAAGATTTGACCATTATTTCCAAGGGTTTTGATAAAAAAAACTGAAAAGACGAGCTATTTTTTTCTGGATTTTGGTCATCAAAAACATATTTTAAACACAAATTTTTAAAGGATTTTTTGTTGCAACATTGCCAAAATAAGACGCACATCAAAAGTAATGACGGTTTTGTGCAGCAGAGATGGGCTGTCACAGCAATTCCAGGTTGATTTGGAAAAATCACTATTTCCCAGTCTTTTGATTAAAAAACAGAAAATTAAGTTGAGAATTTTTTAGATTTTTGAGCACAGGGCCGCCCCATGTTAACAACTCTGCTAAGCAACTGTAAGATGACCTTATTACATATTCTATCGATAACAGAGTATCCTGATATCGATTGGTCCTCTGTTTTTTAAATACTTAATAGTATTAAGTATTTTCTTTTATTATGGTATATACTAGTATTTTGTTTTCAACGAATTCGTCAGCGCGATGTTTGCTAAATTCGTGGTAATCACTGCCCTAATCCTCGCCAGCTGTCGCGCCGAGGCGGAGGACACCTCTGTGCTGCCGGAGAGCTTTGTGGACGCCGCCCAGCGCTCCACGCACACCAACAACTGGGCGGTGCTGGTGGACGCCTCGAGATTCTGGTTCAACTACCGGCATGTGGCCAATGTGCTGTCCATCTACCGGTCGGTGAAGCGGCTGGGCATCCCCGACTCCCAGATCATTCTGATGATTGCCGACGACATGGCCTGCAACGCCCGGAACCCGCGTCCTGGCCAGGTCTACAACAATGCCAACCAGCACATCAATGTGTACGGGGACGACGTGGAGGTGGACTACCGCGGCTACGAGGTCACCGTGGAGAACTTCGTGCGACTGCTGACCGGGCGCACCCAGAACGGCACTGCGCGCTCCAAGAAGCTGCTCTCGGACGCCGGCAGCAATGTGCTCATCTACCTCACAGGACACGGCGGCGATGGGTTCCTTAAGTTCCAGGACTCGGAGGAAATCACCAGCCAGGAGCTGGCCGATGGCATACAGCAGATGTGGGAGAAGAAGCGGTGCGGCAACAATCCCTTACCCTTACACAATACTTAGTTGTACCATCATTTAACTTACGTTACTATTTGAGTCTTCCTAAGAGGTTGCTCCTACCTACTTACTTACTGTCATGTAGTTTATAAACTAGCCAAGAGCTACTGCCTTGCAGCCTGCTTTCTTTCTTGATATATTTGGTTAGCTTTGCCTTTATCCATTTACCAGATTATGTTTTCCATTCAAAACTCTAAGAGCAAGTGCACTTCAATACAGTTAAATTCAGCAGTAATTCAAGTTTGTGCGTAAGGCGTAAAGAAACTGTTGCAAAACGAGGACTAGAGCTATGCTTTTATATCTCCAAAACCCCTCCATATACAATCTATAGATCGATATGGTGAAATATTTTCAGTGTAATAATCCATCTCCTATTTTTTAGTTACAACGAGCTGTTCTTCATGGTGGACACTTGTCAAGCGGCGTCGTTGTACGAGAAATTCACCTCGCCGAATGTCCTGGCGGTGGCCAGTAGTCTAGTGGGCGAGGATTCCTTGTCGGTAAGTCAGAAATATAGTTTAAAAAACAGCCTACGATACTCATACACTCATTCCCACGCGCAGCACCATGTGGATCCATCCATTGGCGTGTACATGATCGATCGCTACACATACTACGCCTTGGAGTTCCTGGAGAAAGTTCAGCCCTTCAGCAAGCGGACCATAGGGGAATTTGTGAGTGTCCTTGTGGGATTTCCCAAAAGATCTATAACTATAAACCCCAATGTATTCAAACAGCTGCAAGTGTGCCCCAAGCGAGTGTGCATTTCGACAGTGGGCGTGCGTAAGGATCTGTACCGCCGGGATCCGCACAAGGTGCCCATCACCGACTTTTTTGGAGCCATCCGACCGACACGGGTCTCCACCGATCGCATCAACGTGACCCTGGCCAACGAGGAGTAAGTATTTCAAGCAGAAATCAGAAATCTTTGTAACCCCGAGCCTTTACAGCGATTTCATCGTCGACAAAGATGAGACGGTGGCCAAGAAGCCCTTTAAAATTGTGATGGAGTCACAGTTTCCGTCCGAGCTTTTTAAATAGACTGGCCAACTTTGTATGATTCATGTGATAATATTAATTTTATTCGTAAATACATCATTTCATTATTAATACATGTGTAATTTATTAAATTTATATGTGATCTCGAATCGTGCTTTAAAAATTCTCAATTACGGGCTTAGTTCGTCTTAGCTATCTGTTTTATATTTGCTAACATTTCATTTTCATTTCATTTCATTATCATTTTGCGGTTCTGATGCCGTTTGTGTTTCCTTCTCTTATGCATTACATCAATGTATCAGTTAAATTATACTTTTTGGTTACCACTACATCAAACGTTCACTAATCAATCAATCAATATCAATCCATCGTGTAACATTCATATCAAATCCAAAACGAAACAAAAAACCTATTGTATACTTATATAAAAGGTAAAAGTCGCTGGCGACCGCTATGTAGAATTAGAAATGCACAAAAAAAAACAGTATTTCTATAATTTTGCACCGCGATTCGTTATGGTTTTTCCTTTTCATTTTTTTTCTTTGGATTTGGTTTCACAATTTTCTAATTTGGGTATACACAAATTCAAAGAGCATAACAATGGCCTCAGAAGCGAGATCTCTTATCGTTTACTCCTCATCTTTCTCATTTTTTTTTCAGTTTTTATCATATGGAAGGATCTACTTCGTTTTAATTATTGAATCGTTTAATCAATACACATATACACCTAGTATACATATACGGTTTTAATTAGATTTCCTCCCTTGCTTTTTTACTTGTTTTTTTTACTTGTTTTTTCTTTGTTTACTTTTTGTTTCATTGCATCAGTCCCATAATTTGAGTTGTAGGCTTGGGTTGTCCTCAAGATCAAGATCCAGATTAAGCACCATAAGAAGTTCATATTGCATCCACGCTATACACTACGGGGACATGGTGGACATGGGTTTCTGCCCAGGATGCAAATGGATCTAGGCAAGCGGAGTGAGTCGGATGCTGGTGTTTCTGTGGGTGTGGTTGTGGGTGTGGTTTTGGTTTTGGTTGTGGGTGAGTGGGTCAAGTAGTGAGTTGAGCATTTAAGTTTTTATATGTTTTTTTTTGGGGGGTACAACAGTTTCATTCATCTACGATAAGTCGTAGCTGGTTAGGTGACTGCAGTTGGTTAATCCGGGAGTGTAAGTCGTTAAAATTAGCTAACTAATGTTATATCTCGAGACGCCAGATGGTTGGGTCGGGGGTTTGAAGGGCCCCCTCAATCCCACTCCTCGTTCTCATGTATTTACAAAGACACTTCTTCTTTTCCAGCGGGAGCAGTTCTCCATCTGACCCCAGCCTTAATAATCAAATGGGCGGTTTTCAGGACTGGGAAGGGATTTAGGATGGTGGTCGGTTAGGGAAGGGAGGGGAGTGGGGTTCTTTGATTGATTTGAATCTCGATTACAGTTATGTTTAAAGTCTAACACTTATTCGATAACACGCTGTGCAAAAATATTTGTTTTTTTTTACTCTTTCCCTCCAGACGCTGTTTATCCCGCTTTTACTCTACAAAAAATGTTAATTATTTTAGCCGTCCGTCCGCTGCCCTTTTTTTCCATGTTCATATATTGATTATTATGTCATCGCTTATAAATCCACATATATACGTACTTTAAATATTCTTGCTATTTGCTATTTCGTATTGGTTTTTGCATCGTTTTCTCGTAAAAAAAACTCTCTACGGAAAAAAAATCGAAAATAACGCTTTGAAGGCAATTTGATGTCAGACTCTTGCTTATTTCTCATCTTCTGTTCTTCGCTTTTTATTCGAATAACATTGTTTTCGTGTTTTTTTTTAGCTTACTTTCTCTATTTCCGTTTTTCCCCTTAGCCCTAGGTTTCGTTATTAATGTGAAAGAGCTGGATTGGAGGGGGTTGGAGTTACATGACTGGGGATCAAGGACCTAGTGAACGGGTTTTGCTATTCACACGAGATTCCTTCGATTTCCTTTTAGGTCTAGCCAATTTGCCGTTTCCGGTGCATACTTTTTCGGGCCTCTAAATGCAGGTGGCGCCACTGAGGAATTTCCAAGTAGATAAACAAGAACCGCGCAGAATACGTGTAGAAATTTGTTTTTAGGACGAGTTTATATTGATTTTTAATAAAAGCTTTTTCAAAAAAACTACTTCTTAAAAATAACTACAAGAACCAATGCTGACTTAGTTTTTTTGATTTTAAAAAAATATTTAAATTTTGTTAAAGTAACCTCAAAAAATCGAAGGACTCCACTGTTCTATATACAAACCAATCAAAACTGAAAACTTTTGGAGCACAAGAAGCCGGGTAAGGTATAAAAGTAAATAAAAAACATAAAACATATTCAAGAATTACATTTATTCAAAAATGTTGTTAAAAAAATGTATACAGACAGCAAAAAAATCAACAAAATTAATACATTTACAAAATAAAACGTAGTACGACGATATTGATAACAATCCGGGCATCAATACCGATAGGCGTTTGGGGTTGCGACGACAACATGATTACGATATACAATTGCGCAATCGGGCTTACACAAAAAAAAAAAAAATAATCCTTTTGTTTCTTTCTTTTCTTATCATTGTTTTTTTTGTTTTTCTTATTCATTTCTCTTCTTAAACTTTCTCTTGTTGTATGTACTATGCGTAATTTATGTGTAGTATGTGATTATGCGTTCTTAACTTAGATATAGTGTGTGTGTGTGTGTATGTGTGTGTGTGGGTCAGAGTTTGGGGTTTTAGGTTTTGGGTTCGATAACTAACAGTATCTAACAGTATAATTCTGCAAGAGTTGCGAGCGAAGTTCTCTTAATGGTTGATGTGTGATTCCGATCTGGCAGTACAGTTTCCGTTTCCGTTTCCGTTTTGCGCTAACTTTCGTTTCCATTACCGTTACCGTTTCCGCACACCCCACCACCCCCTCTCATTGACAAATTGCTCTACTTCTCTGCCCAAAAACGGATGTACACTAAACTAGCTACTTGGACTCTACTATTTATACTTTATGTGGTTGAATCTCCCGCCCTGCTTCGCTCTCCTTCTGCTACTCACTCCATCTCTCTCTCTCTTGTTATGCAATTTATATATATAAATATATATGTGCATGAGCCTATACTTTACATAGAGTTTTAGTTAAAAAAAAATAGATAACTGACATATGCACGCATCCTAAATGCTTGCTATAGCTGTGTGTGGCATTGTGGCTACGTAAACATTACATACTCGTTACATTCTCGTTACATACTCGCTACGTACTCGCTACATACTCATAATCCTACTAATTTAACACTCCAAATTGCTGCTGCTGATCGTCCTTATCGTTTATCTCCTCTCAGCAAAAACACAAAAAAAAAATTACATGATTAAAATGTTTCAACTTCGCATATGCGTGTATGCATATGCATATGCATATCTTCCTTAGTACGGTTGTGTGTGTGTGTGTGTATGGATTGTTTGGGGGTGAGGATCAAATATGGGTGAGTGTGTGTGTGTATGGGATATAGTACAGGGATCCAACAATTAGACAAACTAAAATACACGATAGATCAATTAGGCTCTACATTATGCATGTAGCAATAGTAATAGTAATAATAGTAATAATCGATAAGCCATAACTAATGAATAGTTAATAGGTAATGATATCCAGACATACTCATAATCATAATCGTAATCGTAATCATAATCATAATCGTAATCGTAAATCGTAAGTGGTAATCATAGTGGTAATCATAATAAAACATGCTCTACGTGTACGATTCTAAAATAATTCAGTCATCAGGTAACATTGTTTTGAACACAACTACAGTAACAGAAGCTGAGGTGGCTGTGGGCGTGCGCGTGGGCTGTCGTTGGCGCGGGGGCGTGGCAGTGGGCGTGGCTGTGGCAGAGGCGGAGACAGAGGCAGAGGCTCTGGCAGTGGCGGCGTTAATATTATTGTTATTCATATAGTTATTGTTGAAGTTGTAGTTGTTGCTGTTGTTGTTGTTGATGTTGCGGTTGTGTTGTGTTGTTGGTGCTGTTGTTGTTGTTGTTGCTGTTCTTGTTCTGTTGATTTTCGTATTTAATTGTTGTTGTTGTTGTGGCAGTGGTCGTTGCTGTTGTTGTGGTGCTAATGTTGCTTGTGATTGTGTCGTCGTCGTCGTCATCATCACTCCTGTTGCTGGCGTCGTCGACACGGCAGTCCATTGTTGCTGCTGCTGCTGCATTGCTGCTGCTGCTGCACGTGTTGCTAATGAAATCGTTGTTGATGATGATGATGATGGTGTGGCTGATAATGATAAAGATGTTGCTGCTGTTGTTGTTGATGTTGCTGTTGCTGTTGTGGATGTTGCTGTTGTTGTGGGAGCTGCTTGTTGTGGGGGCATGGCTTGCAGCGGCAGCAACTCATCGTCGGTCTGGGTCTGAATGTTGACCGTGTTGCTGCCGGCCCCTGTTGCTGCTATCGCCTGCAATCGGCCGCAACAGTTGCCGTTGAGCAGACGCACTGTCCTGGCTGGCAACGTTATGGGGAGGGGTGGGTGGGGGAAGGGGGATGGACACAAACGTTATCGCAAACACAAGGCTCACAATTCTTTCTGCTTACCATTCGCCACTTGACCCTGACTCAGGCCCAGTTGGCGATTGCGTCCAGGTGTTGCTGTTGCTGTTGCCGTAGTTGTTGCTGTTGCTGTGGCCATGCCCATTCCAGCTCCAGCTCCCAATCCTTTGGTGGCAGTGTTGGCAGCATGGTTGCTGCCAAAGTTGATTATCCTTCTGGGCAGTTTCTGTTGTTGTTGCTGCTGCAGCGCCAGCAATTGCTGCTGCTGCTGTTGTTGCTGCTGCTGTTGCTGCTGCTGCTGCTGGCGTGCAGTGGCTATCTCGCTTAGACTGGCTAAGGTCACCGCTGTTTTCAGCACATGCGCAGGCGTGGGCGATGTGGTTGCTGCTGTCGTCTCCGTCGTTGTTGCTGCTGCTGTTGCTGTTGCTGTTGCTGCTGGCATGGAACGCTGTGACATTAAGGCCGTGTGTAGTATTGATGTATATTGTTGCTGCTGTTGTGGTTGCTGTTGATGCTCAAGTCTTTTGCTCTCTTCTAAACTGTTGCTGCTGCCTGTCCTGCCGCTGGCCAAAGTCCCTGTTGCTGTGGTGGCAGTGTTGCTGTTGCTGCTGCTGCTGCTGCTGTTGCTGCTGCTCTGGGAATAGTCCCTGGGCGTGTCGCTGCTGGCCGAGGAGCGGGCTATCTGCTCGGCAGCCGCCGTCAAGGTGGCCAATGTGGCCGCCGCTCCGCTCAGCAGCGAAGTCTTCAAAATGGACGTGGATGCGGTCGAGGATCGGGATCGGGATCGAGATCGGGACCGCTCCTCCTGCTCCTGCTGCTCCATCTCCTGCTCCCGCTGCGGCTGCTCCACCTGTTCATCCACCTCCTCCTCCTCCTCCTCCTCCTCCTGCGGTTCGCGCTGGGCCCCGATCTCGATCTTGATCTTGGGCAGGTCGCGCAGCAACTGGTGTTGCTGCTGCCTGCTCCGCCGCCGCTCCTGTTGCTGCTGCTGCTGCCGCTCCGGGAGGATTGGTATCGTCATCGTCATCGGCATCGGCATCGGATCAGGACCTGGTGGTGGCGCCGGCTGGTGATTGGCGGTGGGCAGCAGGCCGTGCTCAAGCATCTGCTACCTTATGCTCGCCGAGTTGAGCACGAAGGGCACATAGAACATCTTGCTCTCGAGCAGCAGACTGGCCGCAGCCTGGATCTGGAAGAGGGGCGGGGAGAGGGGGCAAGCCACAGGGCAAGGATTAGTCGGGAATGAGGATCGGATCGGATCGGATCACCGAGGTTGCCACAGTACTTACCTCTGGTATGTGCGAGAGCAGCTCGCTGAGCCGCGCCTGCGGATTCTGCGGCGAGGAGTTCTGCAGGTAGGAGCGCAGCACCTGGACGTACCGCTCCTGGATGCTCTCCAGTTCCACTTCTGCTGGATTTAGAAACGAACGGAGGGGGAAGGGGTAACATGAGCACTGTACGAATGAACTGGGCAAATCGAACCACGTACCTTTGTTCAGCAGTATGTAGACCTTCAGGCACACGTACTCCTCCATCTTGAGCTTGATGCGCCGGAACATGATGGTGATCTGGGTCATCTTGTCCACCATGTGGCCGACGTCCAGCTTCAGCTGCTCCATGGCTATCGGCTGGCCCATCAGCGTGGTCAGGCAGGTTTGCAGGGTGCTCAAATGCGAGTTTACCTCGCTGACGAACTCCGGGTCGTCCTTGTGGAGCGGCTGGGCGGGCGAGGCTATGGGCGTGCTCAGCGGCGTGGCGGTGGGCGTGGCCAGCGGCGTCGACGCCGGCGAGCCATGCCTGCTGGCCGCCCCCTCAGCGCCACGGCGCTTTCCATGCAGCGCCTGATAGGCGGCCGTGGTCAGGATGAGGATCTCGTGCCACTTGTCGGTCAGCAGCTTGGTATGGATCTCCACGGGGATCTCCAGGTAGAAGGGCAGCTTCTTCGTCCACGACACCAGCTTGTGCACGATCGAGTCGCCGATGTTGCACAGCTTCTCGCTAATCTCCGACTTGTCCTCGAGGAACTCGCTGAAGTGCGGCAGCGTGGCGATGTCCTCCATGGCATCGCAGTCGATCAGGGTCTGGATCATGGCCAAAGCGTGCTCGTACGAGATCTGCCTATCCTTGGACGAACTGACCGCCGAGTCGAGGCGATGGCGCAGGTGCACAATCTCGCTGGGATTGGTCAGGGCCGTCTTCAGTATCGTTCCGTTCACCAGATGCGGCGGCAGTTGGGCTCCTCCTCCTCCGCTGCCCGCTCCTCCACCGCCTCCTCCACCTGGCTGCTGGTGGTGGTTCTGGTGCTGACCCTGCTGCTGTTGCTGCTGGTGGGGCGATCCCAGCGAGAGATGCGGCGAGGCCTGATGCGGCGACGACTGCTGCTGCTGCTGCTGCGCCGGACTGTGCATGGGCGGAACCTGCAGCAGCTCCGGCTTGAGAACTGGACCCAGGAACATGGGCTTCATGTCCACCCCGCCGCCCATCAGCTTGGCCTGCTGCTGCTGTTGTTGCTGCTGCTGCTGCTGTTGCTGCTGCTGTTGCTGTTGGTGCTGCGCAGCTGCTGCCACCGCGGCGGCAAGTTGCTGCTGGTGCGGGGACAACAGGTGGTGCGGCGACAGCTGCGGGTGGTGCTGCTGCTGGCCGTGGTGCGACTGGTGGCCCGGATGGTGATGGTGGTGCAGCGGCGAGTGCAATTGCTGCTGCTGGTGTTGCTGGTGCTGCTGGTGTTGCTGTTGCTGCTGGTGCTGCTGCTGCGCCGCCTGCTGCTGCTGCTGTTGCTGCTGGGCGGCCTGCTGCTGCTTCTGGTTGGTCTTCTTGTGCTTCTTGTACTTCACCTTGTACAGATTGTAGACGGCTCCGCTGTTGCGTCCGCCGGGCATGCGATCCTCGCGAACGGCTGAAAGAGGGTGAAGGAGAAGAGGGGATGTCCTGGTTAGGCAAAGGGAGCTCCTCGAGGAGATTCCGCCCACTCACCTTGCAGCACCATGCCCTGCTCGATGCACTTCTTAAATCGACAATACTGACAACGGTTGCGCTGTGCTTTGGTTATCTCGCAGGTGCCGTCCGCCACGCAGGTGTAGACCCGTCGGTTCTGCACCGTCCGCTTGAAGAAGCCCTTGCACCTGGGGATTAGATGGATCTCATTAAAGGGTTTTTTTTATTTATAAATTTTTTTTTTTATATATTGTAGATTGTTGAAGGATGGACCTTGTTTTCCTGTATTGAAAAATTATTTCTAAAGATCGCAACCTCGTGATCTTATATACAATCCTCTTCTCCCTTCTTTTATGAACACCTTCATTATAAACAGTGATTTAACTAAATTCGGAATCCATTTACGTTCTATACTTATTTATTGTTTAACTAAATATTTTTAGAAGACAAATATAACTAACGTGTGACCTCGAGTTTAATCAATAGCTTCAATTAATTTTCAAAAGGTCATAAAAAACAAACTCATAAACTTTTTCATTTAATCTTAAAAACAAATTGAATATTATATTTCTTTTATTCAATAATCACATTACTTTAAAAGTGAATTTAAAGTGTCACAATTTTTTTTATAATCAAAGTTCTACTAATATTTAAGCCAATTAATAGTTTTTGTATTTATAGATGGTTTATTGTTCTTAGTTTGAATAATTCATTTGTAAAGTGTCTATAATCAAAGTTCTACTAATATTTAAGCTAATTAATAGTCATTTGTATTTAATTGTTTGAAGTGTCCCAAACTTATTTAATAGAATGATTTCTCTAATCTAAGTTCTCCTAATATTTAAGCAAATTAATAGTGAGTTGTATTTATAGATGGCTGTTAAGCACTCACCCTTCGCACGTGATGATGCCGTAGTGCAGGCCGGTGGCCTTGTCCTCGCAGATCATGCACACGAGTGGCTGCTCGTCCTCGTCGGTGGGCTCGTGTGGCGCCTCCAAACCGCGTCCGCCCAGACCGCCGCCCACGCCGCCCAGACCCGTGGAGTTGCTGCTGCCCCACTGCTGCTGCTGGGCGCTCAGGTTGAGCGCTTGCAGCTGGCCAGGTGGCAGTTGCGAGTAGTCGCCGGCCCACAGGCGCTCCATGTTGAGGGCGTGCGGGGTGCGGAAGGGGTGTGGTCGGGCCCGCATGTCCTGGATGCGCGTCTGTCCGAGGGATAGCAGCAGCTGGGCGGCCTCCTCGTTGTTCTGCGGCGTCACCGAGGAGGGCGTGAGCGGTCCGCCCACCCCACCCCCCGAAACCGAACCGCCGCCGGAGGAGGATCCCGCCGAGGGCGAGGACAGGCAATGTTGCTGCTGCTGCTGCTGCGACTGCTGCTGCTGTTGCTGCTGCTGCTGCTGTTGCTGCTGGGACTGCTGCTGCTGCTGCGACTGCTGTTGCTGCTGCGACTGGTGGTGGGGCGACTGCTGCTGCTGCTGCGGATGCTGGCCATGTGGCTGGCCCACCGAGGGCGGCGGCGGCTCGTAGCCCCAGACCATGGTGCGCACCCCGCAGCTCTCGCCCATGATGACGGTGGGCGTGCCGCGGGGCGGCGTCTGCGAGGGCGTCTGCGGCGACAGCTGCGAGGATGATGATGAGGAGGAGGGGTGCGGCGAGGGGCACTGCACGGAGCCGCCCCCATTGCCGCCGCCCACTCCCACGCCCACGGGTCGCAGGTTGCCCAGCGGGCCGCCAATCACCTCCGGCTTCACCCCGTTGATCCTGGCATTGCTGAAGCAGACCATCCGCTGGGCGGCCACTGCGGCCGCTGCTGCCGCCGCTGCCCCGCCGGCGGACTGCATGAGGTGCGGCAGTCCGGCGGCCACCTGCTGGTGCACCTCGCTCTTCACCCGGAACAGGATGGCCGCGTCCCGGTTGCTGTTCCTCAGCGCCAGCGAGGCGGGGTGCATCAGGGCCAGGGCCTGTGGCTGTTGCTGCTGGTGGTGTTGCTGCTGCTGCTGTTGCTGCTGCTGCTGGTGCAGGTGCTGCTGCTGCTGCTGCTGCTGTTGCTGCTGGTGGTGCTGCAGGTGCGGCGACTGTTGCGGGTGGTGCGGCGACAGGTGCCGCTGGCCCACGTTCGGCTCCTTCTTCACCCGCACCAAAGAGTGGGGCGAGTGCTGCTGCTGCTGCGGATGCGACGCCTGTTGCTGCTGCTGTTGCTGCTGCTGCTGGCCGAGCAGGTGGTGCAGGTGGAGCTGCTGCTGCTGGGTGAGGTGCTGCATGGACTGGCTGAGCAGGTGCTCTGTGGGCGGGCTGCTCTTGCGCAGCGTCAGTGGCTGGGTGAGTTGCTGGTGGAGATGGTGCGTCTGGACGATGGTGGGTCCCAAACTGCCGTGGGACAGCTGAGTGGGTGGACTGGCGGAGACGCGGCTCAGATGCTGCTGGGAGGAGCTGATGGACTGTTCCCGCTCCCGCTCCCTCTCTCGATCCCGCTCCCGATCTCGCTCCCTTTCCCTTTCCCGATCTCTTTCCCTTTCCCGTTCTCGTTCCCGCTCGCGCTCCCTTTCCCTCTGCGTACTGGATGTGGAGGAGGGCGAGGCTGGCGGCGGGGGGCTCTGACTTGATCCGCGATGGCGTCACCAGAACCGTCACATGTCCCGCTGCTGCCGCTGCCGCTGCCGCCGCCGCTGCTTTGGTCTCCTGCTCGCGCTGCTGGTGGAAGGCCAGCATCTTGCTGGACACACTGAGCAGGCGCTCCTCCTTCACGGAGCGGATCACGCTGCTCCCCGATCCCGATCCCGCCGAGGCGGAGGACAGCACTCCATTTGTGGGCGTCACCGTTGGACGACCCGTCGTCGTCGTGGTCGAGGGCTTCTCCTCCAGCGAATCGGGCGAGGCGCGACTGCTGCCGCCGCTGCCGTTGCCATTGTTTTGGTGTTCGTTGATTGCAACTCCTTGCGTTGCTCCGCCGCCGGTGGCTGCTCCTCCTCCTGCTCCTCCACCGGCTGCTCCTCCTCCTCCTGCGCCAGCTGGTCCGCCCACATCGGGCGTGGCTGGACTGGATCTCGCCGGCTCTGCGGGCGGCGGTGACATCACCGAGGAGGCGGCCGCCGCCGAGATCGCACTGCTCGAGGAGTGGATCTCCGTGTGCTCCTGCTTGATGCTGCCCCCTTTGCCACTACTGCTACTGCTGCTGGCGGGGCAGGTGGCCGTGGAGGAGGCTCCGGCCGTCGGCGAGGCGGAGGAGGTGCTGGAGGACGTGGAGGAGGATGTGGAGGAGGCGGACGAGAGCGAGGAGGTCGAGGATGTGGCCGCTGCCGCCGTCGTCGAGGAGGTGGAGACGCAGGGTCCCGCTCCCGAGGCCGTCACCGCTGTTCCCGCTGCTCCGCCCAATCCTCCCGCTCCTCCTGTTTCGGCCACTGCCGCCACGACCGCTGCCAGCGAAACGGTGACCGCCGACGAGGAGGCCGCGAGGGGCAGGGGCAGCGACATGGGCAGTGGCAGGGTCATCGGCAGGGGCAGTGGCAGGGTTAGCGGGAGGGGCAGGGGCAGGGACGCCCCCGCCGACGCCGCCGTCGCCGAACCGCTGTCGCAGAGCTTCGGCGACATGGGCGCCAGCAGATCCGGCGACGAGGTGGACGTGTCCGCTATGGACTCGCCGTCACTGCTGCATCGCGAATCGATTTTCCGCCGTTTGAGTTTGAGGTCTTGAAAAAGGCTCATTTTATCGAGCTCGCTGTACGGGCCACGGCTCAGTGTCATAATTCCTAATGGGTGATAAGAGGAGTTGAACTTAGTGGTTGGCCAACATGTTCGGGATCATATAAAATCGAACTCTTGACTGGATTCCAGTTATACGTGTATCCCATACAAATAAATATAAAACATATGCTGGATAAATTGGACTTTAAATTTAGGTCCTCCAAAAATTGTCACTTAAAATCTATGTTCATTTTAAGAAGAATCATTTCCCGTTTCGCATATTCATATGATATCTAATATCGTTGAACACTAAATTCTTAATAGTTGTTATTATCATTATTTTTTGATAGCAAGTTAATTTTATAATATGTTTAAAAATAATGTATAAACATTACTATTTCTGTGGGCGAAACTATTTTCTACCCATTTCAAACTAAGAAACATATCCTGATACACTTTGCGTCAAATACAGCGCATAGATAATAAAATATATAACTAATTCCTAGATCATCGACTTGAGCTTGAGAAATTCTCAGCCACATAATGCGTGGTTGCTATGCATATATACATAAGTTCGCATAAATTTGTTGCGGAAGTTTCTTTTCTTTTCCGAATTTTGTTTTTGCATTGATTTGCTGACGGAATATAAACAAAAAGCCGAGCGATTTGCATTTACTTCCCCACTAGCAGCAACAGCTGCCAAAAGTCAGAAAAAAAGAAGCCAGCGAATAACTGGTTAAGGCGAGCAAAAAGCCAAAGATTTGGTCGAAAAAGAAGCCGAGATATGAGGAATTCGGTTAATTACATGAGCTTGATCGATCAGCAGTCTCAGATCCGAGCACTATGATATATGGTTGCTCCCCCAAACCAGAACTCTTTCCCCAAAATGGGTCAAAGCTTCTTCTTCACTTTATTGTTTGCTGTTACCGCGCATGTTGCTGCTGTTCGTGGATGTTGCTGCTGGGCATTGATGTTGCTGCTGTCGGTCGAGCTGTTGCTCTTGTGCTATCATTCAGCTTGACGATCAACAGATTACAATGCAATAAATATATGTTGCAAGGGGCGTGGGTATTTGGTGAGTGGCTTTTTGTTAGACAGAGGAAAATAAGACTGCCTGGATAAGATTACTTTGTACAAATCGAATTGATCTTAGAAAATATAAATTATTTGGTTTTTACACTTTTCAATCATGAAATGAACAAATCGTTTTTAGTTGGAAAAAACTTTTGTTAGTTTCTTTAGGGATAAGAAAAGTGCAATCAAAGTTGTTGATCATTTTAAAAAAATCTTAATTTTTAACAATATTAATGATGAAGCACCTTACAAACAACTTTAGAAATTGGTTGGGGGTAAAGTAAGAGTCCCAAAATGTACATCATTTGAAAATCTATTCTTTACGATTATTCTATTTACGATGGAAAAAAATATGCCTTTTTTTTTTAAATGTTCTACTGTTTATTAAGATTTTATTGAGTCTTTTTCAAATATTCGAATAATTAAATGTACAAATTTTAATTTAATTAATTTGGAAAAGCCAAAATAAATTTGCAGCCAAAAATTCAACCAATGTAAACATTAATGATTTTCAACTTGAACTTTGAATTTCAGAAAAAATTTATATATCTTATAATCCAAAGTTTTATTATCCACAAATCTATCTGTTACTGTTTAGAACGAAGTATGTATCAAACCATAAAAAGTTTCGAACCATGTTTAAAAACCACTCATAATTGCTTTGTGCAGTTGCAATAGTTGAACTTTCGATCGCCCGTTCCCTTCTAAATCTCCCCCTTTATCTCTCCCTTGCTCCCTTGCTCCCTCGCTCCCTTGCTCCCTCGCTCCCTTGCTACCTCGCTCCCTTGCTCCCTCGATCCCTTTCGCTATCTCCTTCTCTATCTGGCCGATTCGATTCGATTCGGTCACTTGGTGCGTAGGCCCAGCAACGACTTTTCCCTCTCCCATTCCGAATCCGAATCCGACTTCGATTCCAATTCTGATTCCCATGCCATATACCCCCGATCGCTTCCCTCCCACTCGCACTGCCCCCCCCTCGCTTTTCCCCCCACCTACCACCTATCCAATGGCGATCTCTTCACGCACTCACACACACACACACTCACAGGCCGAGAGATAAACCATATATGTATGTGGCTTCGGGCGGCAAAAGTTCTCTCGGGTGACTCGTCGGCAGTGCCGACGACAATGTCGTTTGTGTGTGTATTTTTAAAATTTGACCTATTTTCATTATCAAGCGCAAGATTATTCTAAACAATAAAACCATGCGTGCCTCTCTGCGTCTATATCTTTTCGCCCCTGTGTGCGTGTGTGTGTGTACGCGTGGAGTCAACTGCCGACAGCCGACTTCTACACGCAACTGTATACACACTAGATACTTCAGATACGCGCGGGCATATGGGGAATAGATATACCTATGTATAAAGTCGAAGGTACCTGTTTCCCAGATCCACAGAGGACTGAAACTGCATTCGAGGCAAACAGAAACTAGCCAGAAAATGATGATAGTTTTCCATCTAATCGTAACTCTTGCCTAACTGAATAACTTGAGGGATTGGTGCGATTAAATCGTGATCGATGGGGAGATCTAACCAGAATGAGCGAGAAATGGAGAGAAAGTTTTGGGAATAGTCATCGAAAAGTCAAGAACGATGGTAAGGTGTTTAAGTAAATAGTTAGGTAAGACTTTCTACCTGGTATCAACTGGAATGCCAAAGAGTTGCTAATAAGGAGAGCCTAATTACTACATCAATTGATTACTGATTCGGTCTAATCAATTCCACACTAATACTTTTATCTTTAGAACCCAACAACCTATCAATACATGCCCCCAGTTTGTATAAATATTTAAAGCTTATCTATAGCCTTAACATTTAATTAACCTTTATTAATCTAAAGATTTTGAACAAAACTTAATATGGAATCTGTGAAATTTGAACGTAACAATAAATAATAATTTCAGTAGGTGATTTACTTGACTCTAAAAGTGCAGAAGTTTGTCGAATTTAAAAATATGATATTAAAGATAAGTTATCTTACAAGTTCCAACTACACCAAAAATATCGATTCAATTTAAGACCTACCTAAAGATTTGAATGTTGATAATCTAAAGATTTAACTATTAGTTCGGTTTTCAAAATCAGAATACAAATATTTGTATAATCGTCAACAGACTATATTACAGTTTCCCCATCAATCAGTTACAAGTTACAAAGTTGTATTTTATTAACTGGTTAGTAAGTGGGTTTAATGGCTTAGGAGTCCATTAAATATTAATCAATTGATGTGCTTTGGGAAGTGGGAAAAGCGCTGGTCAAAAGGAAAACTTGGAGGGCGCGAACTAGGGCTAAGATTTCTAACCTCCAAGATAACCTTTTGATCGGATTGGTTTGTGTGGGAAGTATTCTATGTCTAATGTTAGTGATTTTGATTTTGGTTTTGGGATATAGTCACAAATTTACCTATGGATGTCATAATTTCGTTTTTTCTTGTCTTTGCCGATTGCTCAAATTTTGATAAAAACAAAAAATTATCTTCTTTGCCGATTGTTGATGTTTGTCTTGTTTTGCTGATGTTGTTTCTCAGTTTGCTTTTGCTTTTGCATTTGCTTTTGTGTGTGTTTGATAGTGGGTTTTTTGTTTTTTTTTCATTTGATTTTGATTTAGATTTTGATTTGGATTTTGTATTTGTTTGGATTTTTGGTATTATTGTGACTCGTTCGGGAAGCATCTAGCCTGCGTCTGTCCCCGCCCGCTGCCCTTTGAGCTGCAGAGCAGAGTGCCAGTGGCAGGATGCATTCCAGTGGGTGGTTGTGGGTGGTTTCGAGTGGGGTGCTCTTGGGGGTGGGCTTTTTGGGTTGGTCTTTCAATGTCTTGAAGTCTTGTTTTCTTGGCCAATTATTGGTTGCTCCAGTTTAGTGCACTTTTTGTTTTTTTTTTTTAGGGGGGGTTGGGTTGAGGGGGTGTTTGATTGTTGTTGACTGAAATTTTGTGGTTGGTAAGAGTGGGAGAGCATAAGTAATGGGTGTGGTAAAGGGCAACCAAGGGGGTGGTGGGCGGTGGTTTTTGGGTGGGTGTTTGTTTGGTGTTCTTACGCATTTATGATTAAGTATGATTTAGGGGTATAGTAGAGTATATAGAGATGGATGCAATACTAACGGCAAATGGGCGGCATACGAGACTTTTTCTTATAATAGTTATTGTAATTGCTGTAATGGTTATTGTTGTTGTTGTTGGTATTGTTGCTTGTATTATTATTATTATTGTTGTTGTTGTTGATGGTATTGTTGTTATTGTTGCAGTTGCTGTTGTTGTTGTGTGAATTGCACTTGTTGCACTTGCTGGGACTGCAAGTGGCCGCAGGTGTTGTAGCCACCGTTGCAGGCGTTGCTGCTGTTGCTGCTGCTGCTGCTGCTGTTGCTGCTGCTCCTCCTCCACCTGATTTTAAATGATTGTCATTTTCCAGTGCTCCAGTGGGCTCTTCCTTGACCTGGGTCAAATCCGTGGACGATGAGGATGCAACATCGCCGCTCGCCTCGCCTTTATCGCCGCCATGATGATGATGATAGTGGTGGTGGTGGTGGTGAATGTGATGATGGCGATCGTTGGCAAATGGTTCTTGTTCATTGCTATTTCCGCTTTGCAAACCGGAATCGCAGGCGCCGTCGACGTCGCCGCTCGCCGCGCTGTTGTTGTTATTGCTGCTGCTGCTGTTGTTGTTGTTGCTGTTGTTGCTGCTGATGTTGCGGCTGTTATTGATGTTGCTGCTGCTGCTGTTGCCATTGTTGCTATGTGGCAGTTGCAGGCTGCCATTGCTGTTGCACTTCTTGAGCAGGGTTTTGTTCAGCGGTGTCTTGATAATGGTCAGCTTGTTGGTGGCGTCATCCTGGCGATCCAGGCGATCCGGCTGATCCTCGTCCCGCCGGCAGCCGTGATTGCCATTGACCCGCTGCTCCTCGTGACCGCCGTTCAGCTGCGGATAGGGGTCCGCCAATGACGATGCCGATGCCGCTTCCGTGGCCTCCGCCTCCGTGTTCTTGGCCGCTTCTGCGGCTACCGAAGCAGCGACACTGGCCTTGGGGTCGAGGATCAGCGGCTGCTGGGCATTCATTTGGGCAGCTTCTAGGTGGGCAGGTACAGGCGGACAAACGAGTGCTGGGCCATTCTGGCTGGGCAAACACCGATTTTCAAACACATTTCAGAACACTTTCGATCACAACAACCATTTGTTTATGAACTTCTTCTTCTAAAGCATACATAAAACATGAAATCCCTTGGGTCGATTAGAAGAAGAAGTCTGCGTCCATTGCCAAACTTAAATCACTCCAAAAAAATATATAAACATAATGAATCGATTGATATTTTGATCCTCCTTTTTTGATCCTCGAAATGAGACTGAGATTGAAATGAGACTGTGTGTGTGTGTGTGTGTTGGTGGGTGGGTGAGTTGGTGTGTGTGTGTGTAGTGTGGGGGTGTCAGGGGATTGTTTGTTCTTAGATCTTGGGTCTTGGGTCAAAACTAAGGGCACATACCACTCTTGGCTTTCGATTCTTGCCTATAATTTACATATAATTTGATGTTTTCAATACCACTTAAGCTTTGACAACATTAAAAAAAAGGGTTTTTAGCGCGAGCTTAACCGATAGGTGTCAACCGTAAACCGTAAACCGTGAACCGTTCACCGTCAACCGATTCGCCCGATTCCGCCGCACTTTAGCCACTGGGCCACTGGCACTGGCACTGGCCACTGAAACCAAACTAAAGTTCGAGCCAAGTTCCGCGTCTGAGCGACGGCTGCTGCCGTGTTGTTGCTATTGTTGCTGTTGTATATTTTTTGGCTTTTGTTTTTTTTTTGTTTTTTGGTTTTTGTTTCGGGGAGATGTTGCTCCGCGGCCAACGTGCGTACATGCGAACGAAATAAAGTGAAATGAAAGGAGTAAGCGAGCGAAAGAAAGCAGCAGCCACGAAATGCTGCTGCTGCCGCTGCCGGCGTCGCTGTCGGCGCAGGCGTGGACTCCCCCCCTCCCCCTATCGCTCCACTGTTCCACCGCTCGCTCTCTCCCTCTCTCTCTCTCTGTCCCTCTCTCTCTCTCTCTCTGTCTGTCTGTCTATCGCGATCGGGCATTAGAAGCGTCGACGTCGACGTCGGCAGCGAACGAAAATGAAAACCAATAGACAAAACGTACAAAAACACTGAAAGCACACTCACACACTGACACTAGCCTGCGAGCAGCGACGTCATAGTTATGCTTTGGCAGCGACGTCGACGTCAGCTTGTTTTCTGTCCCCTTCTCGCTCTCTTTCTCTCTCTCACTCCCCTTTCACCACCCACCCTCCATTAACATTTCCATCCCCATTTCCACCCACCGGCTGGAGTTCATTGCAATCGCAATTGCAACTGCAACTAAGTTCTAGCTGCCACTAAACTTCACTCTCCCTCGCTCCCTTGCTCCCCCACTCCCCCTCTCTTTCTCCTTTCTCCTTTCTAGCTCCATCTCTCTCGCTCTCTTTTTCCCTTGCCTAAGCATTGCATTCAAATTAGAATTCACACAGCAGCAACACAAGTTGCATATGTTGCTGGTGTGTTAGTGTATTGCTGTGGACGTTGACCGGCAAGCTTAGGGGAAGGGGGTGAAAGGGGCTGGGGGTAGGGGGTGGTCTAGGGGCAGGGGCACTGTCATTGCTAGCGAAAAGCTTTCCTAGTTCCCCCGACGAAAGCTCTCCAACTTTCATGCTAACTCCCATTTCGGGGAGAGGCGGCCACCCTTCATCTTTGTTTTTTTGCCTTCCGAGCAAAACTGTGCCATTGCACTTTCGACATAGGGGGTGGGGATGGGCGTGGGGCGGAGGGTGAGTTCCAGGAGTCCAGAGAGGGGTGGCCTCCGCAAAAGCTCTTTCGAAGCAGACACTTTCCTGCCGCCGAGAGAGCCAGTAACAGCAGCAACATCAGCCATTGCTGTTGCAGTTGCAGTTGCAGCATACATTGTTGCTTCCTGCTCTCTCTCCATCTCTCTCTGGCAATGGAGTTCTACGATCGGTGGCAGAAGGCCCGAACGAGACAGAGAGGGATAGAGATAGCGAGCGAGGGGGTGAAAATGTGTGTGGAAAGGTAAAAGTTAATTTGAATTAGAGCAACGACAACGACGGCGGCGGCAGCAACTCAACAATGGACAATGACAAGCGATTGCGCAACGTCGAGAGCAAAAAGCACAGCACAGCAAAGGAAAAGCAAAGCAGAAAACGGCAGCAACAACGACAGTAATGGCAAACGCAGCAGCAACACGAGAAGTAATAGCAACAGCAACATCAACAGCAATGCGGATCAATCGGACAAACGGACAAGAAACCAGAGTTTAAACGGACAAATTGAAGAACGTACAAGTTTATCGGAAGAAAAACGAACGATCTGTTAAACTTATCAGTTCGTTAACAAGAGGTTAACCATTTATCAAACAAGTTTATCGGCGGACAAACAGACAAATTTGTTGCCGGACAAACGGACAACTTCAATAGCGGACAACCTGATACGTTTAAAGGACAATTGACAAACGGACAGCCTGCCAAAGTTCCAGCAGACATATGGACAAACGCCAGTCAACTTTACGCCAACCAGAAGCAATGTCATGAATGGCGAAATGGCCAAAAAGAAATGTGGCTTATGTTTCGCATTACTTATTATTTACATTTCACGTTGTGCCTTTGCATTGCACCCACACCAGCATTTCTCTAATGCCCTTTCCATACGTTCGTTGACCATTGTCTGACGGCACTTTCGATTTCAACTGCTGCCAGCAGCAACAGCAACAGCAACAGCAACAGCAACAACAACATACAATAATTGTTTGGCGCACATTTCATTTCCTTATTGCTCACTGACATTTTGCCTCGCACTCACACAACGTAAATGGCTTACGACTTTATAATGAGCAACCTAGCAGCAGCAGCAGCAACAAATGTGTTAAGACCTGATTGCTGCTGCTGCTGCTGCGGCTGCAGCAAGTTGCAATGCCAGGAAGCCTTTGGCCAACAGCTCATGCCCCTGTCTCTTTCTTTTCGCTTCGCCCCCCCTTCCCCCCCTCACTCTCGTTTCGCGCTCTGCTGAAGTGAAAGTTTATTGTTGTTGCTGCTGGGTTCTTGATTCATGGATCGCAGGCGAAAGAGAGACGGCATGCGGAAATGTGTGCATGTGCAACTTGCAATTTCAGCGCGACTCTCTTGTCTGCGATCTCTCTCTCGAGAGAGGGCGGACGATCGCTAGAGAGAGAGAAAGAGAGCTGCTCTCCATGCTTTAACCCAAAATAAGATTTGTATTTTTGCAAATAAAAGATCACTCACCGGACCACAAAGCCGGGCCAGGCATAGCTGGTTGTTGTTGTTGTTGTTTGCTTGACGTCTTGGGGGCTCCTGGTTTTTGTATTTTGCAACTTTTATTTGTCAGCCCGATTTCGAACTCTTCTTTTCAGTGGCCCACTGCGCGTGGTAGCAACCACATAGTTTCCAACACTCAAGTCTAGAACTCACTTCAAAAAAATATATATATTGTTCTGCTGTTGGTTTGGGCCTGCTCGAGCTTTTCTTTGCGCGCCTTAAGAGCTGCGAACCACGAATCACGAATCACGAATCGAACTGAAGTCGAAGCTGCTGGGCCAAAACTGAAGCCAAAACAAAGCCCGTGCCGCTGCCCGCGTCGCCGTCGCCGTTGGCAGCGCTGCACTTGCTCCCCTCTCACCTTACTCTTTTTTTCTTAATTTTTTTTCTTTCTTATTTTATTTTTTTATATTTTTTTCTTCAAGTTTTGGCTTTGACTTATCTTTGACTATTGCAATTTTTTTTTATGTAATTGCGTGATTAATTGTGGATTTTTTTGCTATATTTTTTTGGTTTGGTTGTTTGGTTTCGTTAGGCGAATATTACTCATACGCAGTGTGTGCGCTTTGGCTGCGACTGCGACTGCTGGCTGACGGATATAACGGAAATGTGCAACTGGCAGCCACCAAAACAGCCGCGTAGCGAAATTGTCAAGCAGACCCAGAGACCCAGAGAACTGGGAACTGAGAAGCAGAGACGCAGAGAAGCAGAGAACTGAGAACCGAGAACAGCGGAGAGCTTAAAAGAGAGACACTGCTCAAGAAACCCAACTAACCCACTAATCGAAACAGAAACAGAAATCGAAAACAAGAGCCCACGAGCTCTGCACAACGGCAGCAACATCGGCAACATATAGATTGTTATGTGGGTTTTCCTGGCTGCCTTTAAAAGCTTGCTGACACACTCGGAAAAACAACACATTAGGCTAACAATTTTGCTAACAATTTCATGCAAATGCAGATTCCATATTTCCAAGTTGCAGAACAAATAAATGCTTTAACTTTGTCTTAAAGCCTTAAAGATAGAAATTTAAATAAATGTTTTTATTCTACTAAATAAATTTTAGAATAGAACTTTTGCAAAACTGGCCAGGACTCAAAGTTATGGGCGGGTAAGAAAAGGGTAATAAAATATCTGGATAAATATGCATGACTTGTCATTTTTTTTTTATATTTTCCTACTTATTAGAAAGAACTAGAGTTACTAAAATTTAATCAAATATTTAAAGCAACGTTCTGGAAGTCAGAAGTATATTTTCATTTAATTTAAGTTTAAACTTTTTCTGCCTGTTGTGATAATGCCGTTGTTAATGCAGGTTTGATGGCTGATATTGCTGTCGTTTGTACTAGTATTGCTGGTGTTTTCGGCTAATGTTGCTTCTGTTTTTCCTGCGACGGCTTCTGTTGCAGCTGCAGTTTTTAATAGTGTTGCTGGTGGGGCAGCTTTGGCCAGTGCTGCTGCTGCTCTTGGCCCACGAACGGCTTCTAACACTTGTGCATCAAGTGCACATGGCCCAGAGCTTTGCTCTCTATCTCCGAGTCTCCGATTCTCTCGCTGTTTCTCTCTGGGTTTCTCGCCGTGTCTCCGAAATGCTTGCATCATAGCCCATAGGCTCTTCGCAGCTCCCCCTGCAATTTGCACTGCACAATTTTTGCAGTTCGCAGTTGCTTAATCAAAAGCAACAACAAACCAAAAAAAAAACAGCAAAAATATGCCGCCGCCCCTCCTCACACGCCCCCCACCCCGCGGAAAAGCACCCCCTTTGCAGACGCGCCTGCATGGCATCTAGAGTCAACCAACTTTAGAAGGTCATGTGGACTTAGCGCAGCCGAATATCCTTGGCTGATATTGGAAATGCATATAGCTTATATACACACACTAAGCGCTCTGCTCGCCAGCTCGTTCGTTTGTTTATTTGTTTGGCATTCGTGAATTGCGTGCACTTTCTATGCAGTTTATTTACAGGAGTCGATTCGATTCGACTCGGGCCAATTGTCCAACCGGGGAGGCAGTGCACCATGTTGGCGTCGTCATGGATACCCTGGGCATGTCATGAGTAAGTACAGCTGGAGATGATGTGGCAGGTGTGGAGGGGAAGTCCCCGTATGACTCCAAACACACTAATTAACTATGGCCAAAGTTCCTTTGTCAATTAGCAGGGAATTTCATGTATTCATTTCGGTTAAACTCAGAACACAAGACATAATTAATCAAAGGTTTTCGCATTGCAAATGCAATAACAAGTCCTTAGGCTACAAATGATTTCGGTTATTGTTTTAATGCCACGCAAAGTATGACTTTATGTTTGTGCAGCAACAGTAACGATAAGAGTATTAAACATTATATTTTTCTAGATATATAATGCCTTGTTTTGATAGCATGATAAGTGGAATATTTATCAGTGTTTGCAGAAGCCTAGTCTCGTTACCGATTAAGTTATTATAGTGCATAATAGCTCCCCCGACTTCCTTGCCATCCGAATCGGGGCACTATGCCATATAGGGTGGTTGCATCTACAAGTGCGCGCCTATATTGAGCGAGTGTTATACTCTAATTGCCAGTCATGAGGTTCAACAACTTTCACACAAAAATCCTTGAACGCCATTTGCATAAAAACCCCAACTGCAAGCTGAACAGAAACAACAACAACAACAACAATAATACAAATAATAATAACAATAATAGCAAAAACAACAACGGAGGCGCGAAGCAAACAACGAGATTACGTATACGCCACCAGTGCAACAAACGAGAGAGATAGAAGGAGAGCGAGGATAGAAAGAGAGAGGACGAGGACTTGGGCAGCAACAAAAGTTTATAGTTCTGTTTTTTTTCTTTTTTTCTTCTTTTATTTTTTTGTGAACTGAAAAGCGAACTATTGAGGGCAAAGTTAATGGCACTTTATTATTTACCTGTGCACGTTCTACATTTTTCCCACTCTTGTGTTTTTTCTTTGATATTTATTGGTTTTCTTATTATTTCTTGTATTACCTGATTTACTTCGGACCCTATAGAAACTTCTCTGATTTTAATTTTACTTTATTATATTATTTATTTAATAATAACGCCTCTGGTTCTTTATTTATGATTCGTATCTGACCTATTGCATTTATTTATTCTGATTTAATTGGGCAAACATATATTGTGGCAACGAATGTCAAGTGAACACAAAGTTCATGAGAAGCCAAACGCAGAGTGGGGGACAGAGCGAGAGGGGTGCAGAGTGATAGACAGAGAGGGGGCTAGTGAGAAAAGTCTGTCTGGAAAAGTGCAAAATGCTGACAATATTTTCGCTGTTGTTTGTTTGTTTCTGTTTTACTCGCATAATGTTTCTGGGTCACACACATATGTGGCAACGTGTATTCGTGCCTTCATCTCTGGTTATACATTCGGTGTGGAGGGCAGAGAAGCGACTCGAAAGAGACGCCTCGAATTCACCTGTTGGCGGGCTTCGATTCCCGCACACTCGTTCGTTCTACTTCCTCCGTTTTGGCCATAAATCTAAGCCATCCATGGAGCCCATTAATCAGGATGCACTCACCTTATAAAACGAAAGTCCAACGCTGCAAAAGAAATGCCTGCGTCATTCCCTCTAAGAACTGCAATTAGAAAGAAGATCGAACATCAGAATCAATGGGTTTTTAGAGTAACTTAACTTCTATTAATTATATTGATAAAAAAAATTAAAAAAAAAAAAAATGTTGGTGTTTCTTAATGCAAATCAATGGAAATGTTTTTAATGAGGGTTTTGTTTTTGTATTTCCTACTTGATGTGATACTAAATTAATAAATATTGTAATAGATAGTTTGAAGGGTAATTGTCCACATATGCATGAAAATATATCTCTAGATAAGTTCAATAGATTGCTCTGGTTCCGATTCTGTTGCTTTTGGGACTGATAGTCTTGCATAATCCAGACATTCTATATAGTCTTTTGGGGGCAAACTGGGTGAGCGTTTGTCGGTCAAGTGAAGTGTTCTATATGGAACCACAGCCATATAGCGATACCCATTATCTCGGATTTCCTCAAAGGGCGTGCAGTGGGGTTTGGGGTGTATCAAATTACCCCTCCCATCCCCCCTCTTGCCACCCCACACCACTTTTCAAATTCTCATTTCGTTTTAGATTTTCTTGTTCTTCTTCTTGGGTATTTATTTTATTTTTTTTATTTTTCGTTCTTTCGGTTTTCTTTTTTAGGTCAATTTTGACAGTTGCCGCTACAGTAAGTGACAGGCGGCGGAAAAACAACTGCAGTTCGCCAGGGATCGATTTGAGGCGGTCACAATTTGACGGAGCATCGATGATTTTCCACTCCCCCGCATCGGCTTTTCCCGCCCCTCCCCCCAACGCCCCCTAAACCTCCAGAGATTTGATGGGCGACGGGCGCTGGGCCAAGAACTTGAAAATGTGTGTGGGCTGGGATGAATCTATCTGCTCCACATTGAAATTCTTTTCCAAAAAAGTGCGAAGATGGAGGGGTAAGTTAAAGACTTAAAGAAAAACTGTTTTAAGAACAAGAATAATGCCAATAAACCGAATAATTGATAGTACTATTGTTTAGTGGGCTAAATTCAGGCTTTATAATTCTATAATCGAACGTAACATTTATTAAGCAAACAAATTAACCAGTTCCTTAAAATAAACTTTGATATTTTTTTATAGATATTTTTCTAGGTGTGATATCCATCGAAACAATGCAAATAATTTTATAGGTATTTATGCTCTACATATATATTGTTAAAGTTTAATGGCCTGTTAATGACTCTAATTATAGATCATTTCTGAAAACCAATATTCCGAATTCCCTTGATCCCAAAGATTTTCTAGCCAGAGAGATAGAACCCATCGATCTTTCGCCTGGGAGACTGTGGCAATGTTCGTCATGCCTTCTATTTATGTTTAGCTGGTGACCTATATCCGTAGGACCCTCCCCTTTCACCCCCGGGGGACCCCTGAAAGCCCCTGTTTTTCCGATGCCCCGCCCCCCCGTGACGCCCCCTTAATTGCGGACAGGTATGAGGCATTGAAAGATCTGAGTGCCTGCGTCTGTTTCTATGCTTGTTGCCCTCGCTTTTCGGCTCTGAGCAAACACACACACACAAACATGAGTGCGTACTCCCCAAAAAAAAAAGAAGAAAAATACCCGGCACCCACCGCCCCTCCACCCCTCCACCCCACTCAAGCACCACCCACTATCTCTATCGGGCGACACCTTCAACACATCCCTGGACGCGTATCAAGTTGAAGGTTTATTTTTGTTTACAATCATTTTTTTTCGGTTTATTTTGTTGTTGCTGTTTTTTCTAACAATGAGCGGAGCACAAAAACAACACAAACGAAAGCAGCACACGGCTGTTGTACCGCCCACGCACCCCCTTCCCCCTTCCACACCACCCCCTTGATCTACGCCCGCACATCCAACAAGTAGGTCGCCAGCGTT